CAGTTGGTCCAATGCGTGTTTTAGATCTCTTTTTTTACATGCACCAGCATCTCTACCTCTTACTTCAGAAGCCAGCCTATATTCTGCATTTGTATTTTAATCAGATTGAGTAATGAAATGACTGGGTTAGACCAAAATTAGTTTGATTAGGTTGTGACCATGAGTAAAGTAGCAGAAAATATAAAGAAAGCATGTGCAGACAGTTTGTCTCCAGAGAGGTACATGAGGTTCCCTGAACGTCAGTCAAGTTCCAATTCAGTTACCTGGCATTTCAGATATTTCTGTAGGGTGCTTACTTAGCATGTACCAGAGTCTAGGTTTATTCCTGAGCAGAAAAGGGGTGGGGAATACTTTGAGAACTGCTTTTTTAAACACTTTATAGAGCCTGAGGGTTCCAATTCCTCCACAGCTGTGCCAAGGACACTTATCTGTCAACACTTATCAAAGCCATCTCCCTGGATGGGAAGGGCCATCTCACTATAGTTCTAATTCCCATTTTCCTCTCATAAGAAATATCTTTTCATGTGCTTTTTTGTTGCTGTTTTGGTAGTGAGGCTTGAACCCAGGGCCTGGGTGCTGTCCCTTAGCTTTTTCACTCAAGGCTGGTACTTTGCCATCTGAACCTCAACTTCACTTTCAGCTTTTTGGTGATTAAATTGAAGATAAGAGTCTCATGGATTTCTTCTGCTTTAACTGAGATCCATAGATCTCAGTTACCAGAGTAGGTAGGATTACAGAATCACCAGCACCTGGCTTAAGTGCTTCTCCTTGAAAAGCCTTTAGTATTTTCTTGAGATAAATGTCTATTTATATCCTTTGCCCATTATGTCTCTTCATTACAGAGCTGCGCTCTTTATGTATTTAAGATACATGTGCCATTTTAGATACACAATTTTCAAAATTTTTCTCCTACTTTGTCTTTTTTTCTTGGTAGTACTCAAGTTTAAACTCAAGGCCTCAAGTAGATGCTCTACCACTTGAGCCACACTCCCCCAACCTTTTTATATCTTAGAATTTTTGGTTGCTACTGCTTTAAGTTTTAATAAGAATTTATTTTAGGGGGGCTGGGAAGGTGGCTCAGTGGTAGTGTGCTTGCCTTGCATGCATGAGGCCCTGGGTTCGATTCCTCACCACCACATAAGCAAAAAGAAAAAAGCCTGAAGTGGCGCTGTGGCTCAAGCGGTAGAGTGCTAGCCTTGAGCTGAAGAGCTGAGGGACAGCGCCCAGGCCCAGAGTTCAGGCCCCACGACCGGACCCCCCCCCAAAAAAAAAGAATTTATTTTAGGGTAACAAGGTTAAAGTAAGAAGAAATAGGAAATATTTTCTTTCCCAAGAAGGAAATGGGAGTTAAAGACTCTCATCTTAGTTACTTTTCAGATAAGGTCTAGAGTTTTTGCCCTTGGCCTCAAGTAGGGATCCTCCTATCTCTGGCTCCCACCTAGCTGGCCTGGAGGCAGCCTGCCTCCCCCTCATCTTTCGTTCAGCAAATGATGCAAACAGAATGGGGAAGAGGGGGTGACTCCAATAAGGGCCTGGTCTTCAGGCTACTAACTGCAGATCCCTCCCTCTGGAAAACATCTCTTTATCACCTGTTAAAAAACAAAACAAAACAAAAAAAAACCTGGGGGCTGGGAAGGTGGCTTAGTGGTAGAGCGCTTGCCTTGCATGCATGAGGCTCTGGGTTCGATTCTTCAGCACCACATAAGCAGAAAAAGCCAGAAGTGGCGCTGTGGCTCACGTAGTAGAGCGCTAGCCTTGAGCTGAAGAGCTGAGGGACAGCGCCCAGGCCCAAAGTTCAGGCCCCACGACAAACAAAAAAATAAAACACACAACCATGGGAAAGACAGTACTTCAGCCCACTCCACCATCTAGAGCCATCTTTATTACAGAGCTTGGTCTAGGGTTAAAACAGTAGAATTGAATGATTTTCTGGTTAGTGTTTTCTGTAAGGTTGTAAAGCCAAAGATTTACTATCCTGATTCTTATTTCCTCATTCTTTTGTCCTTACTTCCTCATTCTTTTGTAGCCCCTTGCTCCTAAATCATTGTCAGGCACTTATCAGCTCACCCTGTCATCTGCAAGTTCTATATGCCATAATCTCCTGAACGGCTGTTTTTCCACTAATATGTATTTCCAAAACGAGGCTGGAGGACTTGGTACTTCAGTCTACCTGCAAGAAGAGATTCCCTAAATTAACTGAGTCCATTGCACAGTTTGAGAACTGCTTAGGGTAAGTATAGTGTGACTAGAGGAAAGAAAGGCTAGAAGAAGAAATGGCTGGGATTTCCTTTTCAATGCTCCATATAAGAGAAGGGGGATGGGAAAATAAGGAAACAGATGAACCAAAATGACCATCCTCAGTCCTGCCCCAATCCATTTCACAGACACACACACACACACACACACACACACACACACACACACACACACACACACACACACACACACACACACACACACACACCACAGAGTCCATAATGGAGAATGTTTTAATGCTTAATTCATTATTATATAGCTGGATGTACCAACCTATTTAAAATATATTTAAAGAGACATTTGATACTCCTAAAGTGAGTCTCAATTATTTTATCCAGTAGAAAACTTTTAAAACTTTGTATCTTTATCTTCTCTCAGCCAAAGAAATATTAATGTTTCCTAGCAAATTCCTTGTCTAAAGGCAGTTGAGGGATCTCATTTTGACAAACTCCTTGGAGCAGGGAACCACATTCCAGCTTTTTTGCTAATTAGAGATAAGAGTCTTAGAGACATTTTCTGCCCAAGCTGGCTTTGAACCTTGATCCTCAGATTTCTGAGTAGATAAGATTAGTCTTGAGCCACTGGCACCTGGCTACAGCCTAAAATATTTGACAGTAGGAGTAGTTTTAAGCATAATGGTAAGTTCATTAATAGAATTTTATCATCGTTAAAATTCCAGTTATGAAGCTTTAAAATCCTAATGTGATAACTTTTTTCTGCTTCTGGTAAACTTAATCTAAATGAGTCAAAAACCTAATGAGTCAGCCTGACTTCCCAAACTTTTTGCCCAAACTTTCTTAATCTATATCACCTCCACAAGCCTCCATGTGATTCCCTTCAGCTCAAATGACGAGAGATGACTTTGAACAAAAAAGCTAAGGGCCCAAGCTCTGAGTTCAAACCTCAGTACTAGCACACATGCACGCACGCTCGCAAGCACACATGCGCGTGCACACACACACACACAAATTGTCTTCAGGTTTGATTTTTTAATTTCTTTTGGGGGGGTCCGGTTGTGGGGCCTGAACTCTGGGCCTGGGCGCTGTCCCTCGGCTCTTCAGCTCAAGGCTAGCACTCTACCACTTGAGCCACAGCGTCACTTCCGGCTTTTTTCTTTTTGCTTATGTGGTGCTGAGGAATTGAACCCAGTGCCTCATGCATGCAAGGCAAGCGCTCTACCACTGAGCCACCTTCCCAACCCAGGTTTGATTTTTTTAGAGGCAGGCAATCAGATCAAATCTCACTGCAGTCCAAGCTGCAAAACCACCCAACCGGAAGAGCAGACCAACTGGTCCACACTGTTCTCAGATCATTTGCTAGGAGGATGTATCCTTAGGAACAGAGCAGTTTTCCTTAATCTTTGTGTTAAATTCCACACAACACTGACACACACACAGTCCCCAGCTCTGAACAAGTGGCACTTTCAAAAGTTGTCCAACAGTGTAGAGGGGAACAGCAACATTTAGCAACAGAAACATTTAAGGATATTCTAGCAACTGCCCTGATTAACTATGAAAGCTTGGAACTGGGCAACACGAATAGAGCAGGGAGGTGGGACAACCAGTCAGTGGTGGCAGGCATGAAAAGGGAAGCCAAAATGCCATGACTATCAGGTTTGTGGTGGGCTGGTGACATTGGCTGGCTTTCAGAATTTCAGTTTCATTCATGTGATATTTGATGATGTCATTAAGTTGAACCTATGATTATGAAATTCAGGAAGTAAGTCTTGCTAAAAATAGAGATCCTGATTTAAGAAACAATTCTCACCACAAAGGATAAGAATAGGTATGTCCAGGAAAGTGACAGGTAGGGAAAACCTATGTAGAAGTACTGAAAGAGATTAACAAGCATTGTTGTCTGCTTTTTTAAATGGTTGCCTGACTGGAGTGAACACCTATTGTTAACCTAGCTATGGTCCTTATGCACAGAGCCTGGGAATCTGAGGCAAGAAAGAGCTGGACATGTCCCACCTGACACTCACCCACACCCTGGTGCAGACTGAGGTACAAATGGGGACACACACGGGACTCTTGGCTGCAACTCCGCAGATCCAAAGATCCTGAGACCCAATGGGCACCAGCCTGCAAGCTTCCAAGACCAACAGCACCAACATGATCTCAAGAGGTATCTGGAACTTCCTAAGAAAGAAACTTTTGTTCTCATGTCTTAAGTCTATACCTTTAACTCCAATCATAATGCTGAGAATCTGTTGTAATTGAATTTTTTTTAAAGTGAAGGGCTTTCTTCTCACATCTCTTATTTAGAATCTCACATTTTGTATCTCTTTTTCTGTGTGCTAGTAATGGGGCTTGCTAACTCAGGGCCTCAAGCTCTCATTTGGCTTCTTCACTCAAGACTATCTCTCTACCACTTGAGCCACAGCTCCACTTCTAGCTTTTTGCTGGTGAATTGAAGACAAGAGTCTCACAGACTTTCCTACCCTGACTGAATTCAAACGACAATCCTCAGCTAAGTCACTTGTCTAGGCCACCAGGGCCACCTTTTTTTTTTTTTTTTGCTTTGAGCACAAAAGCTAAGGGAGAGTGCCCAGGCCCCAAGTTCAGGTCCTAGTACTGTCATAACAAACAAACAAACAACAAGCTGCTATTACACCAAAACATATTTGGTAGTTAGTAATTGAGAACTCCTTGTTCTATAAACTTGAAAAGATGAATAAGTTTGTCCTCAAAGAACATTTTACAAAACTATTTTGGCCATATAATAAAAGCACAAATACACAAAAGTAACTGTGTACAAAATAATTTATTATAGCATTATCTAAGCAGGTATTATTTTACAGTGAGTTTTAACTCCTCCTCCCCCTTAGTAATTATAAATCTGAAAGCTTTAGAGTCAAAGAACATTATTTTAATTAAATTATTTGTCTTAATCTCCCTTTTTGAGTTTACATTTGCTTGAAAGGAAGCAGTAATATTACAGTCATATTTACACAGCTCTGAGACATACTGAATGATTCCATTACTGTTTCCTGCACAAGACATGACAAAAAGCTCTCTCTCCAAAAAGGTATCTCCCCCAAAACACCACAATTCTGTTCTTCTAATGGGAGTAAATTCTCGTTTCACTTAGAGATTTAAAAATACATTTAATAGTCACTGTACAGCTAGAAGAAGTGGTTTATTTATTTCTATTCAGGCCCATTAAGCTCTTCCAAAACGCATTACTTCTTAGGGTAAATTACTTGTGAACTCCCTAAGCAACTCAGTTAAAACAGCACAACTCTAGCATGTGGGTCATTAAGACTAGCATAGATAGGCAATGAATTTACCAATAAATTTACATGATTAGAAGGCAAATCTATTTCACATTCAGAATATTTTACATAAAACTGGAGTACCTTTGTTCAACCAGAAAGTATCATTTCCTTAGATACTGCAAAAGAAAGGCAAATAATGAAAAATTGAGAAAAAAAAGGCAAATTAAAATAAATTTTAAAATAAACCTTAATATATGGCCTAAGTAATTCTCTATTCACATACGGTTAATACTTTAAAAGAAATAAAAGCAAGCAAATAAGCAAACCAATAAAACAGGGATCAAAATACAGATACTGAAAGATTCTGAAAGAATCTTCTGAAAGATCTAAGAAAAATAATTCAAAAGGACAATATATAATTTTACTTAATCAGAAATTATCTAATTATTATTATATTTTTATTTTTGTCAGTTCTGGGGCTTAAACTCAGGGCCCAGGCATTGAGCTTTTTTGCTCAATGCTAGCACTCAGTCACTTGAGCCACAGCACCACTTCTGGCTTTTCTGTTTATGTGGTACTGAGGAATCAAACTCAGGGCTTCATGGATGCTAGTCAAGCACTCTACCACTAAGCCACATTCCCAGCCCTCTTTTTTATTTTTGTGCTTGTAACTGGGGATTTGACTCAAGGCCGTATCACTGTACCTTAACTTTTTTCACTCAAGGCTAGCATGCTACACAGCTCTACTTTGAGCCTGTTGTTAGTTAGACTTTCCTGCCTGATCTGGCTTTGAAGAGGGATGCTCAGCTCTCAGCCTCCTGAGTGCCTACAATTAGAGCCACGAGTGCAGACAATCAGGAATTCTTAAGTTATGACAGGCCAGCAAGAGCAGCTACCACAGTGCTGCTGATAATGAGAAAAACTATGCAAGTATTTTTACTTTTACAAACTAAAGAAGTAATTTTAGCAGATGTTTGTGTAGTCAGGGAATAAAATAAGATTTCAAAATACTCCATTTAAAAACTATCTAAATATTTCATTTCACATCTATATTAAATTGCACCTTGGGGGAGAAAAAAACCCTTGATGTAAATTCAGCTGTGAGTCTGCAGGAGTCAGCTTCTTACAAGATTTCAGATTTCATTTGTTAAGACATCACAGTTATCAGCTGTACAGTTCAGTGCTTCACTGGTACTGTGGACTTCATTCAGAGTAGGCAGGAAAGCAGATGTATAAGGAAACAAGTTATGACAGGCCATTCTATATTCTTCATACTGGGAGCTACAGTTCCCAAAGCTGCCATCAAGCAGTGCCTCAGAAACCTTTATTAAAGTCTAATGAAACAAATGGGAAATACAAATTAGTTAAATAAAAAGCTTACTTACAACAACTTTAATCAAAAGAAGCAATTTGTTATTTAAGCCAAGATAAAGATGGCAAAGCCTCAGTATAAAATAATATTTTCCTATCTATAGTAATCATCTAAAATAAAATATTTAAAAAAAAAATTAATAACCAATTCTGTCAGCCCATAATCTTAGCTACTTGTGAAGTGGAGATGGTTGGAGAGTCTCAATGTTCAACCGTTCAGGCATAAAATTTCATGACTCTAGTACCCAATGGCCAGGCAAGAGGTACATTTCACTTATCCCACTACAGGGTAAAAGCAATGCCTAGGCACAGCAGTGCACACGTCATCCCCAGCCACATAGAGAACCACAAATAGAAAGATCAAAACCCAGGCCACCCAAGGCATAAAGCAAGCCCTACCTTGAAAATTACAAAAAGGTGCTGGAGGAAAAGGTCAAGTAGTAGAGCCTTAAACACCTGCCTTGCAAGTGTGAGGCCTTAGTTCAGTCACCCATACTTCCTGGGGGGATTAGGGGAGAAGGACCCAGCATCACCACAGAAACAAAACACTTCTGAAGCACACTTTGTGGTAGATGCCTAGAAACTAAACATTCAGGAGGCTGAAGCAAGAGTTCTAGGCCAGTGTGAGCTAACAGAACTCTTATCTCAAAAACAAAACAAAAAACAACTTTGCAAACCCTTTAAAAATAAATAAAATCCAATAGTTGAAAAAACTTTAAAATTGTGATCAGCAAGGAAAGTGTCTTTTATATAACAACATCTCCCACTTGAGTGAGTGCATGGTCATGCACAAAGCATTTTGTACTTAGTCTGTTCAGGTCACTAATGCACTTACTCCATGAGAGGCATGGTGCTTTCATCTTCCTCTTCAATAAGCAGAAAAAAGGTAACTTGCCTGAAGTCACTCAGCTAATAATTGGTAGAACTGTCATTTACACTCAGGAAGAAAACTCTAGACATTCACACAGTGAGGTCAAAGGAGGATGTTCTTAGGAGAGGATCACAAAGATGATCATATAAAATGATGTTTATTGAAATGGAAACAAGAGAATTTTTTTCTCTCCTTTGTTGCTCTTTTTGTTTTCTGTACCTTTTATCTTGTTTGTAAGTTTATCTGTTTGGGGAGGCTAAGAGAGGAGCACAGAAATGGTGGGACAAAGGGTGAACAAACGCAGCAGTGGTACTCACTAGACACTATGTTGAAAATTAGCTATACAACTTGCGGAAGGGGGGGGCAGATGGGAGGGGAAAACTGGGAGAGAAGAAAGAAAAGAGGTGACGCTGTTAAAAAAGAAAACTACTCATTACTGGACTTATGTAACCATAACCCCTCTGTATATCACCTTTACAATAAAAAAAAAAAGAATTATGTTTTAGAAGCACATGCTTTGCTAGCTTGCTCAGTATCCATAAATCAGTCTGTAAAAAACCTTACCTTTACATTTTTATCTTTTACAGTCTCATCCAACCTAGTGGCTATAGTAATTGCTTTCTCTTGCCTTGATTTGTCCAGAAAATACATCATTTTAGCACCTGAAATTAAACAAAATTTTAACACAGTGGAAAATATATGTTCAATATATTCCACATGTGCTATAAAATTATTTGCTACTGTTATTACAAATGCTGTATCACTTTAAATACTAGTATCTTATTCCATCAATTTAACAGTGCTCTCCTATTATTGACTATGTATATATTTGTTCCTATTCTTTACTCAATATTTACACAAAGTATCTAAGTAGTTATTCTACACTTAAAGATGTTTACTTTGAATTAATTTTTTTGTTTGCTTTGTTTTTGTGGGGATAGAATCTAAATATGTAGCCCAAGGTAGCTTCAAATTCTTTTTTATTTTTTTTTTTTGGTCAGTCATGGGGCCTGAACTCTAGGCCTAGGCATTGTTCCTCAGGTCTTCAGCTCAAGGCTAGCGCTCTACCACTTGAGCCACAGCACCACTTCTTGCTTTTTCCTGCTTAAGTGGTGCCGAGGAATTGAATCCAGGGCTTCATGCATGCATAGCAAGCACTCAACCACTGAGCCAACTTCCCAGCCCATGGCTTCAAATTCTTGAACCTCCTATTTCAGCCTCCAAATGCTGGGATCACAAATATACATCATGTTTGGTGCTAGATTAATGCTTAAAATTATTTATAAAACTTTGACTACAGAACCAAAAAACACAAGTTATTTTCTGCTCTTGAGAAAAGTGACAAGTTGCTTTCGTAAGAGGCTGGGCCAATTTACACTGAAACCAATGAAGTATACTTGCTTGTCACATCCCTAACACTACTCTTCTTTAAAGCAAGAACAAAACCTCTGCTCATTTGAAAGAAATAAATGGTATTGTGTTCATTTTTTCTCTCATAACTAGTGAAGTTCTTTTTTTTTGAGGGGGGGGAGGAGGGATCCGGTCATGGGGCCTGAACTCTGGGCCTGAGCGCTGTCCCTCAGCTCTTCAGCTCAAGGCTAGTGTTCTACCACTTGAGCCACAGCGCCACTTCCGGCTTTTTTCTTTTTTGCTTATGTGGTGCTGAGGAATCGAACCCAGGGCCTCATGCATGCAAGGCAAGCGCTCTACCAGTGAGCCACCTTCCCAGCCCTAGTGAAGCATTTTTGAATGTTTGTTTCTCACCATATTCTAACATAAATGTTTACATAAACATTTTAACCATCATAGCTAAACACAAACCTGAAAGCAGATGTTGAAGAGAGGTAGTGTTATACTTGAGAAAATCCTCATTAAAACTTTCCAAATCTTTGTTGACAAATATTTTCTGCATTTCTTGAGATAGTACCTGACCCACAACATCAGGAAGATTACTCTGACTGGATACTACAAAACCAAAAACATTTGGATATTTTCGTTTTTCATGCCTTTTGAAAAAAACATCAACTGACAACCTTTGTATTTAGTATAAGCTTTCTGTATGCACAGTACAAATACTAGTACTCCTTTGGAATATAAGTATATTCTAGCTTAAAGAATGCACTAATTCCTACTTAACTAACATGTTTAGTTTACTTTGGTATTTTCAGTTAAATATTATAAGCATTACCTTGTATTATGTTTCTTTAATGTCTATCAAAAAAAAAAAAAAAAAGCAAAGCAGCTCCTATTTGCTTCTATACTTGCTTTTTCATAAACATTGCCTTTTTTTGAGGGGGAGGGAGGAGTTCTGGGGCTTGAACTCTTAGCCTGGGCACTGTCCCTGAGCTCTTCAGCTCAAGGCAAGCACTCTACCACTTAAGCCACAGCACCACTTCTGGTTTTCTGGTGGTTAATTGGAGGTAAGAGTCTCACGGGGAATTTCCTGCCCGGGCTGGCCTTTAACCGTGATCCTCAGCTCTCTGCCTCTGGTGTAGCTAGTATTACAGGAGTGAGCCACCAGCGCCTGTTAACATTGTCTTTTTTTTGGGGGTCCAGTCGTGGGGCCTGAACTCTGGGCCTGGGCGCTGTCCCTCAGCTCTTCAGCTCAAGGTTAGCGTTCTACCACTTGAGCCACAGCGCCACTTCAGGCTTTTTTCTTTTTGCTTATGTGGTGCTGAGGAATCAAACCCAGGGCCTCAGGCATGCAAGGCAAATGCTCTACCACTAAGCCACCTTCCCAGCCCAACATTGTCTTTTTTATACTTACCAGATTTAGAAAACTTAACTAAGCATTCATGTAACCATGGGTTATTACTGTTGATGGCAAAAGCTCGTTTGACAGATTGTAGCATTAATAGAAACTTCCCTATGTGAAAAAAAAATGCAAGAATCATAGCATTATTATTTGTACCTTATTTGCTTCATCTTTAGCATCACTTAAAAAAAATAACAAAATGTTGTTTTTACTATAACATTCATAAGCAAAATGTAAAACTGACTTACATTATCAAAGCCAATTTTGCTTTCCAAAAAAAGCTTGCAAATTCATGAAAAACTGCTTTGGTAAACAGTCTGACTGGTCAAACTGTTCTTAAACTAGATTTGCATGTAATATTTTAATGGGATTAGTAGCCTTTTGTGGACTGCTGAAATAAAGTTCTTAGATAAAAAGAGCTCTCACAGAGATTAAACTGAACAGTCATCAACATAATTAAAGATTAAAAAGTAAACTCAAGGGTGAACAAATGCAGCAATATTACTCACTGGACACTATGTTTTAAATGAACTACAACCAAAAAAACTGAACTATACAACTTGTGGGTGGGAATGGGAGGGAAAGAAACTTGTTAGCAAGCGAAGAAGTGATATTGTCTAGAAAGAAATGTACTCTTGGGAGTTGGGAATGTGGCTTAGTGGTAGAGTGCTTGCCTAACATGTATGAAGCCCTGGGTTTGGTTCCTCAGCATCACATAAAAAAACAGAAGAGCCAGAAGTGATGCTGTGGCTCAAGTGGTTGAGTGCTAGCATGAGCAAAATAAAGCTCAGGACAGTGCCCAGGCCTTGAATTCAAGCCCCAGGACTCCCCGCCCCCCCCACAAAAGTACTCTTTACCTACTTTATATAACCATAACCACCCCCCCCCCCACTTTGTACATCGGCTTTAAAATAACAACGAAAAGTTTAAAAAACAAACTCAAGGCTAGGGATGTAGCTCAGTTGTAAAGTATTTGCCCTAGCACATGTTTAACTCCCTCATACTGCAAAACTATTTTTTTAAACTAATTCAAACTTTTTATTACCTTTTCTAAAATATATTTCAAATGCCAGGAGATGAGTTTCAATGTTATCAGCAACAAGGTTTTTAAGAGGAATAAGGAACTTGATAGCTTCTTCTAATGGATTCTCTACCTATTTGAAGCAGGAAGGAAAAAAAATTTATATTTAAAAATCAGCTATATAAACACAATCTCCTAAAAATCTTAACGTATCTATGTAGTTTGGGTAGTTTCTCTTTTTTCATGCTGGTATTCGGGCTTAAATGCTTAAATTCAGGGAATTGTCCCTTAGCATTTTTTACTCAAGCCTAATGCTCTTCGGCTGAGCTACATCTCTACTTGTTGCTTGCTAATTAGAGAGAAGAGTCTCATTCTTGGGCTGGGAAGGTGGCTCAGTGGTAGAGTGCTTGCCTTGCATGCATGAGGCCCTGGGTTCGATTCCTCAGCACCACATAAGCAAAAAGCAAAAAGCCGGAAGTGGCGCTGTGGCTCAAGTGGTAGAGCGCTAGCCTTGAGCTGAAGAACTGAGGGACAGCGCCCAGGCCCAGATTTTAGGCCCCACGCCAGACCAAAAAAAAAAGGTTAAATTGTTCTACAGACTATAAAAAGACCATGTACTTTATGAAAAAATATATCGTGTTCCTTAGATATTACCAACACCTAAATCTAGTGACAAATGAATATAACAGCGTTCTATAATTTGAAAAAAAATGATAAATTTTAAGTACACTCAATTTAATAAACCAGAAAGCTACATATTTTCCTCTATCTGCTTCAAAATAATTTTATTAAGCCTTTAAGGAAATCCTAGAGACAAAGTGTAGCATCTGTGCAGCTAAATCATTATCTCTAGTTAAACATATAAAGTCATTAATTCCATATTTTGCCAGGCACTAGTGATTCATGCCTGCAATCTTAGCTACTCAGGAGGCTGAGAACTAAGGATTACAGTTCAAAGCTAGCCCTCGCAGAAAGTCTATGAAACTCTTATCTCCAATTAACCAGCTCAAAATGGAGCTGTGCCTTGCCTCAATAGCAGGGCTCTAGCCTTAACTGAAAAAGCAAAGGGAGAGGGCTCTGGCCCTGAGTTCAAGCCCCAATATCAGCACAAAATAAAGAAAAAAGAAAGTTCCATTACTTCATAAGACATCTGTATAACAAATTTCTTATCTTGCAGTGCCGTAGATTTTAAGTGCCCACCTGTCTGCTTTACTGGGCTCAAAATCCAGGGGTCAACAGGACTGCATTTCCTTTGGGGGCTCTAAGAGAAAATTCATTTCCATTATTTTTTCTGTTTCTGAAGGCGACTACATTCCTTGGATTATGGCCCTCTCCCATTTCTTTAAACGTACCAACAGGCTAAGTCAATCCTTCAGTCACATTGTAAAACGGAATTCGGAAATCCTTACCCAAAAGACCATCAGAGACCGTCACCAATGTAAAAGCAAGGAGTCTATTGCAAGCTCGAGCTTGGTCCTCCGCGTACCAGGTAACTGGTGACGCTAAGAGGCCCCGAGCCCAGGGTTATAGTACTTTTTATACACTCTTTAGGGAAGGCAGGGACTTTGTATACATCATAGCACCTTACAACAAATTATTACACATCGAGGGAAAATCATAGTACAATTCTATAGTATGATTGGCACACTACAAAGCAGAAACAGGTTGTTGGTTAGATCAGAGGGCTGACGTCCTTTAAACAGGTTGGCTTGCACCACAGGGAGTCACCAGGGGATACCTGCTAAACTGCAGGGTTCCTTTCTTAAACAAACACCACCTTCGGCCTGACTGCAGGGGTAACCACGCCCTCCAGCACCTGCTTGCCCGAGAGATTTTCTCAAGGATTGTTGATGTTTCTAGTTGCCAGAGAATTGCTTCTTCTGTTCATTCCCAGGCTGGGCTCATGGTCATTCCCAGGCTGGGCTCATGGTCAGCTGCATAACTCATACTTCGGAAGATGACAGCTAGCTCAAGATGGAGTCACTCAGGCCTCAGACTCTTCAACATCACCCCAATCTCTTCTGCTTTCCGCTGTTTGCACAACTCTATCTGATCGCATTGGGTAATCTGGATAAATCCAGGAGAATCACAACCTTAAATTCCATCTGCTACCTAATTCACTTTTGCCTTTTCAGATCACACATTTATAGGCTCTGGAGATTGACATTACTCTAGGACATAACAATTCTGTGCATACTTCACAGTAGAAAAATTCTGCATATTGTCACTCAACAATACCTGATGACTATTGCAAATGGCTTTTTTTTTTTTTAAACTCGGTGCCTGGCCACTGTCCCTGAGCCTCTTTTGCTCAAGGCTAGCATTCTACCACTTGAGCCACAGTGCCACTTCTGGCCTTTTCTGTTTATGTGGCGCTGAGGAATCGAACCCAGGGCTTCATGCATGCTAGGCAAGCACTCTACCACTAAGCCACATTCCTGGCCCACAAATAACTTCTGATTTATACATCTAAGTAAGTTGTGTTTGTGTCCAGAAAAGAACCAAAGAGAATAAATTTGATCAAGTAACAATATCAGTACATTCATCTCACCCTTTCCAATTTTTCAGGTGTAAGTTCTTCCTTAAGACTACTGGCTGTTTCTTCTTCATCATCTCTTTTCTTCTTTTGACTTTTCTGTTGACGTTCCCTTTCCACATGTTTTCTCGCTTCTTCTAATTTAGCCTTTTTCTGAGCTCTTCTTTGCTTGCTAAGTAATTTCTTTAATTCTTTGGCCGACAGGCTTTCTACATATATTCAGATGAAGAAATGTTACTGATCAATGTTTACACTATTAATATAACCATATGTATGTGTGTATAAATATGCCATCTACATCAAAGGTTTTGGAAAATGTATTCCTATAACTGGCAAAAAAACCTGACCCACAACAGGCATCCAGGCCAGGCACTGGTGGCTCACACTTGTAATCCTTGCTACTCAGGAGGATGAGATCTGAGGATTTCGGTTCAAAGCCAGCCCAGGCAGAAAAGTCCATAAGACTTTTATCCTCCAATAAACTACTCAGAAAAAGCCAAAAGTGGCGCTGTGGCTCAAGTTGTAAAGAACTAGCCTGGAACACAAAGAGACCTGGGGACAGTGCCTAGGCCCCGAGTTCAAGCCCTAGGACTTGCCAAAAAAAAAAAAAGGTATACAGTCAGTACCAATCACATTAACTATAATGAATCAATTCTAGCACAATTCTGCCTTCTATACAATATAAGTAATTTCATGCAAATTTCATGCAAGTCACTCTATTCCGTTTAAGTCTCAAAGGGGCTAATACCACCAATTAGCATTTTATTTTTAATAAAGTAGACATTGTACCATTTAAGAATTCCCTTAAGAAGATCAAAGCTATTTTCAGTTATAACCTAAAGAAACAAAACAAAACATGGCTATTTCTATTTTTCCTAAACTGATCTTACTAAACCAGTTGGCTGAAGCAGAAACAGCCTGAGGCTGGCACAGCGAGACTGTGTCTCAAAAAAGAAAATGAAGAAAATAAAAATTAAGAAACCCATTCCCAAGTGGCGCTGTACCTCAAGTGGTAGAGCACTCGCCTTGAGTTGAAGAGCTGAGGGACAACGCCCAGGCCGAGTTCAAGCCCCACGACCGACAAAAAAAAAAAAAAAAAAGAAACCCATTCCCTTAGAGTGATTAAGACTCATCAATCCTTTGACTTTTTTTAGCTATATTAATTATCTAATATTGTCTTTGAATCCTTTTGATAATACCCTTTATTTTTATTGTCATTTATTATAAAAATGTATGGGGACAGTAAGATAATTCAATATATGTATACAATGTACAAATCATCTCCTTAAACACTTAATTATCTGCTTTTCTATACAAAGTTAATAACATTCTGAAATTTGGTGCTCTTTACAAATCTTTTTTAGTTACCTGAATTTATTTCTTGTTGTTTGCTTTCACTGGTTAAGGGATTATCATATAATTTCAAGTATATTTCAATTGCTGATCTAGCAGCCTTGAAATAAACGGCATGTCTTCTGAGAGTATCTTCTAGCCTCAAGAGGTCAACATAGGCACGAAGGGTCATCTTTCTCATGCAGTATGTATGGAAGTCAAATTGATCATCGGTTATCTCAAAAAAATGCTTAAAAACAAAACCACAAAATTACCCCTTACATTTTTATCAATACTGCCCACCTTTTGAAAGAACACCATAAAAAGCCTCAGAACAATTTAAAGTTACAATTCCATTGAGTTGTTTCCTTCCACTTTAACACTACAAAGGATATCAAGTTGTCAGCATTCAACTTGAAGCATCTTTTCCATAATCCATACCTGTCCCCTATAAATCATGCCTTGTGATGACACTCAACTTCTATGCTGAAAATTAAAAGATCAGGTTACATATTGGTATTTTAGTCTTAAAATTTTTTCTTCTCTGTATTCAAGAGAAAAATGAGTAAAACTCTGGAGACTACACACATGTAGGTTTATACAAAATGTTCATAAATCTCACTCAGCTCTTAAGAGGGTGCCCTGTCACTTCCGCCCACTTTCCTCACACAGAGCCTAACACATACCAGACATTCTGTCAGCACAGATCTGCCAATTAGGCACGTGAACCTGAATAGTCTTTTAATTTCTCAGAGCTTTAATTTAATCGAAGAATTTAAAAAAATCAGCCAGTTTCTTTCTTTATTAATATTTGCTAGTCCTGGAGCTTGACTCAGGACCTGAGAGCTGTCCCTGAGCATTTTTGCTCAAGGTGTATTCTGTACCACTTGAGCCATAGCTCCACTTCCCTCTTTTTGGTAGTTAATTGGAGGTAAGAACCTTATGGACTACCCTGATTGGCTTCAAACTGTGATCTTCAGATCTCAGCCTCCCAGCTACTATAGCTAGGATTACAGGTTTGAGCCACTGTTGCCTGGCTGAAATAAACCAGATTCTTAAGGTGCTTAAAGGATCAAATGAGAAGATACTTTTAAGTTCATTCTCAACAGTAAACTGCAATACAAAGGCAACAAAGGCAGTTTTCTCTTATTCAACAAAGTCATAAGTTTCTTAACCTGACCCTGACCCCCTAATTCATGAATACATGACCCCCTAAAATAATCTGTTCCATGGAAAGAAGAAAACCCCACAGTTTTGTAATTTTATGTTCTCCTCAATATAAATTTCTACTTCTGATTCTCTTTTCCCCTAATTTGACTTCTTTAAAAAGATAGAAAAAAAATGAGTAAGATTCAATACACCAATGTAAATAAAACTTTTCTATATTCATGCTGCCTCTGTCCTGGGGATAAAGTCCTAATAACTCACTATATGGAAGATACAGTAACTAACCCAATAATCACTTGCTAATTTTAGTCATCTCAGTAATATGAAACATGCTATATACAAAGAAGTTAACTACTTAAGACTTCAATAGAAGATTTCTAAGAAAAGTACAGTGTAGACAAGAAATAGAAAATAAACATTTCATATTAATTCATATTACTAAAAATATACTGTATTTGAAAACTTCATTCTCCCCACTAATAAGACAATTCATTAATAAAAACATGAACTTTGTTTTTTATATCATAGTACTACATTATTCCATAAAATTGTTGGTGGTTTTCCTTGATTTAAGTTCTATCTGGCACCATTATAATAGGTTAAAATTTAAGATACTTGACCAAGGAAAAATGACAATGCTAAAAGTCATGGAACACATATGTGATGAAACATCTAAAAGACTACAGGGCATTTATTAGACTAAGAATTTGCAAAAAGGCAGACAACCAGTTAAAAGAGGTATTTCTAGCAGCATTTGTAAACAGAGATTTTAAATTAGTCTCAGAAGACGTTGTAAGGAACCGAATCACCTGAGCTGCCTCTTAATCAGTAACAGCCCACAGGCTGCCTCTCTCCAGTTAATGTCTTCCATCAACAGGGTGACCAGCTTATCCCAGTTTGCCAAAAGCTTTCCCAGTTTTCTTGTGAAAGCACTATGTCTAAGAATGACTGTTGCTCACTTTATTATTATAAACTAATAATGGAGGTACAAAGAATATAGCTAGATCAGTACAATACTCAGCCACGGCTTATTAATATTTTTGCTTTGGAAGAAAAGAGTGTATTGCAGAATACAACATCAACAACTAAATAATCTTAAACACTTGTTCTCTACGTCTGTCTCTCAGTGATGAGGTAGGGAGCTGGCAGACTGGTGGTGCTCCCAAAATCAGGCTTGAGTCAAATTAAAACAAATGAGCAAAGAATTAAAAAATGCCACTCAGCTTCAGAATGTGACTGTCTTTAAAATTCTGTTAGACCCTCTCTTTTGACTCAGATTCTCCTGTCCATCGTGTCTCAAGAGTTTTTAGATGAGACAACTAAATCTTACAAATAGAAAAGCAACAAAAACCCTGGACATTAAAATAGTACCTAGATCAACTAGGGGAATAAGCAACTTGATTTCTTTTCTACAGAATCTGCAATTATAAAACACATCAATCAAAGAAATACTAAGATGAAACCGGTTTTAATCTATCAGAAATCCTAGAACTAATCAGTTAGAAATATATGTATTACTGCCTCATAACAAATATAAATGAGATTCAATTAAATGAGATGCCAATTATTTTAAAGAGGAAAACTCAAAATTCTTGAGCTAAAGTCATTTAGAATCTTTTTTTATTGGGGTTTTTTTTGTTCCCTAAAAAAATATTTTTATTATCTTTAAGTAGTTGTACAAAGGAGCTGCCACTCAACAATGCAATTTATGATTACAATGTGTCTTGAACACAAGTTTATAACCAATATTTTAGAAGTTTTTTTTTTTTTTTTTGCTTATATGGTGCTGAGGAATCAAACCCAGGGCCTCATGCATGCAAGGGAAGTGCTCTACCACTGAGCCACCTTCTCAGCCCTATTTTAGAAGTTTTAATAAAACTTTTTGTAGCATTTAAACTCAAGGTCTTGAGCCTGCTTGGCTTTCTTGCTCACAGCTGGCCCTCTATGACTTGAGCCACAGCACTAGTCCAGCTTTTTACTTGTTATTTTGGAATAAGAGTCTTAGGGACTTTTCTGCCCAAACCTTTATTCTCTGGATCTCAGCCCCCTGAGTAGCCAGAACTACAGATGTGAGTCAAAGGTATCTGGAAATTTTCAAGAAACAAATTTCAATTTTCAAGCATCAGACTGGGCTGGGCTACATAACATCTGCACCTCATCTTAAAATCCTACTTGAAGAAGCAAGACGAAGACAGAAAAGGTATGTGGAACACTGGAATTTTAACATTTCAAATCCAGTTTCTAAGACCTCACAACAGTAATGGATCCTAGTAGAAACTGCCTTCAATGAAAGAAAAAATTTAAATGTTTTTTTGAGATGTGCTTTCAGGATATAGCCTAGGCTGGCCTCAAACTCATGATCCTCCTGCCTCTGCTTCCTAAGGGCGGGCATTACAGATATGCACCCTCCATAGCTAGCTTGAAAGAATTCTTGAAGGCAAAAGCAAGACCTAGCACTTACTTGACCTTGTTTCCCAACTTGATTCCTATTTTAAGGTGAAGAATAAAGTTCTTACATATGAAAGGTATTTATTTTCTTATTAAAATATTTGAAATCGAAATCTAAAGTAACTCATGCGGTTACTTACTATAATACTTAAATTTTATAATTACTCTCAAATTCTTTCAATGACACTAGATATTTTCTTTTAGATCGTATTGATTAATTCAATAAATATCTGATAATTCTATTTGTACTAAACATATTTTAACATAAAACCATATGTGTATAATACTTATATTAATCATGAATAAGGTTTTATTTTAGTATAGATACACTCATTATTGAAAGGATTAGTTTTCAAGTAGCATAAAAGGAGGCTCTTACTTGATTTTAGTTCTTCCTATCAACAAATGACAATAGCAAACTCTTTAGACAAACTTTCTAGCAATAATAATTATCTAATATGGTGTTATATCACAATGTTTTCTGCTATGTTTTAATCACTGATAAAAAATGACTTCTTGCAACATTTTTCTTCAAAAATGCTTTTTACCAATTAAATCATTTCTTGAATTAGAAGTAGTTAACTTACATTATAGAATCCATGCTACTCAGTCAAAAATCGCTATAAATTTAAGAGAAAAACCTAAATGAAACTTAGTAATGAAAGACCTACTTACCATATTCTACCAATTCTCAAATAAAATATTAGACCTAGCTACAGGAGAGGCAGAGATGGGAAGATCTCAGTTTGAGGCCAGCATGGGCCAAAAATTCAGCAAAATCCCCATACTTTAAAAAAAAAAAACAGTATAGTATCACATGTCTCTAATCTCAGCTATAAGGAAGGCAGAGAGGTAGTAGGATTACAATCTGAAGCTGGATTTAGGCAAGAATGAAACACTTTCTGAAGCAAAAACTAATGCAGAAAAAAGAAGAGCTGAAGGCATGGTTCAAGTGGTAGAATGCTTGTCCAGCAAGTACAAGGCCCTGATTTCAAATACCGGTACCACCAAAAAATTAGAAAGAATATTAAGGGTAGAAAGAATAGGGCTTAAGTTTACAATAAATAATTCTAGAAATAATCAAAGTTCAGCTGGGCATCCCGGTTCACACTTCTAATCCTAGCTACTCAGGAGGCTGAGATATGAGGATCACAGTTTAAAGCCAGTCTGAGCAGAAAAGTCTGTGAGATTCCAATTAACTAGCAAAAAACTGGAAGTGATGTGGCTCAAGTGGTAGAATACCACTAGCCTTAGTAAAAAAGCAATGGAACAATGCCAATGCCTTGAGTTCAAGCCTCAGTACTGACACCAAAAACAAAAATAGAAGTTATCAAATTTAACTTAAACAGAAAATTTGGTAAGTTCTAGTTATAGTCTTATAGAAACTACTTAATTCAGAAACTAATTTACTTTTCACTAAGGATGTCCTATTAATAAAAATGTTCCTTTCCTTCATAAACAGAATGGGGTTATTTGGTTGACTGTTTTCACACTTCTTACACAAGCACTCTGCCACTTGAGCCATACCCTAGCCCAAGTAGAATATTTTTAAGTGACATCACATAGGGAGTGTTAGCACGAACTAGTAATCCACAGAGGTTCTTAGTTTTTCTGAGACAAGACCTCACTTACTATATAGATCAGGCTGGCCTCATTCACAATCCTACTGCCTCTACTTCTCAAGTGCTGGGATTATAAATGTGCCCCAATTCCTACTCTGATCTACAGCCCATCACAGAAATAATGGTTTGATTTAAACTAGAATGTTTGGATATTTCACATACCTATCATCCAAGCGCTTTATAATTTTCAAGAAGAAAATGAGAAGGTTTTTCTCTACAGATACAGCCATCAAGGCTTAAAAGGGCGAAAGGAAAAAAAAAAGTAAAACTTAGGTTATTTCTATAAAGACTTTCATATAATCCTAGCTCCAGTTCCCATCAAAAGCCACCCGCTAACATACAGCCTTCCTTTTGGGTAACCTCAGAAGTTTGACATGGGAAGAAGGCCAAAGTGACTGACTGCCATGGTGCAGACATCAGGCTCACCTGGCTACGATGCCTGTGGTTTTATACTGCGTCAGCAGGGGAACAGTGGTGCCGAGTGCCCCCACAACTGAGGGCTGCTGAGGACTGCCTCAGGAGTGCATTTGTGGCTCTTTTCCTCCTGTGGTCCATGTGGAAGGAGAGTGCTTCAGAGATGACAAAGAACAGGAAAACAAAAATTCACACAAAGAAAAAGAAAAGTCCCCTCGCTAAGGCAATCACACACAATTCTAAAAGCAAGTAATAAGCCAGCAATCTGGCCATCAATTGCTGCACAGAGTCCTGAATGTGAGAACAAGCATCCTGAGAAGACGAACTGGAGAGAGGCTGACTGAGGACCAGATCCTGACATTCGGATGTGGAAAGAGGTTGCCATCAGCTATGTGTCCTCCTAGGCTAGTGATGAAATTCAAGTAATGGCCTCTTCAGGGAATAGATACTTTGAGTTTTTCTGTCAATAGTTCCAATAGTGGTTTAATAAACTAAAATTTTTTTCCTTTTTAATTCAAATAAAAATATACAGACATGTCAAAAGCACAACCATTTAAGGTCAACAAGAGCAATCATTTATTCACATTTCTTAAGTTTGAAATATTGTAAAGATCAAGAATTTTTTTAAGAGGAAGCAAAGTATTTAAACAAGGCAGAAGATCCTGTATAGAAATCTACCTGCTGTCTTGTCAACTTATTCAAGAAAACTGAAGTCAGAATTCTAACAACTTACCCTTTCTATTTCATGGCATATTTTCAAGGCATCCCCAAATCTCCCAAGTCGCTGATAAGCTGAAATGCATTCTGTCTGAAACCACATACACTGCATTTCATTTAGATTTTCCATGGCAGATATTCCTTCCTGAAATAGAAGCAGTCTTAAATGCAGGAAGCAAGTAGCAAAATGAGTAATAAAAATCCCATGTTTTTTTCAGTTGTGTAATTTCCAACATCAGAAAAAAAATTGCTTTCTTTTATAGCTATTTATGGCTATATTATAACAGTAATAACTAATAATAACAAATAAATATATTGATGTGCTTCCAAAGGCTCCTACTGATTTTCCTTTTTTTTTTTTTGTTTTTTTTTTTTGGTACTGTCTTAGGGCTTGAACTCAGGGCCTGGGCGTTATTCCTTTTCTTTTTTTGCTCAAGGCTAGCCGGAGACCACTTGAGCTACAGCTCAAATGAGGCTTTTTGGTAATTAAAAATGAAAGTCTCATGGTCTTTAATGCCCAGGTTGGCTTTGAACCATGATCCTCAGATCTTAGCCTCCTGAGTAGCTAGAGTTACAGGTGTGAGCCACCAGCAACCAAGGTGTTTCTGCACTTTTTATACTATTTGTCTTCTAATATTTTTAATCACAAACATGAATTACTTTCATGATAGAAAATAGTCTATATGGAAAAGGATATGAAAAGATGGTAAAGAAGAGAACAAAAAGAATACTAGGCTCCAATATTCCAGTGAACTTAATCTCCAGAATGTCAAGAGACTAGCACAGTTCTGAAGGTTACATAAAGGAGAATTAAAAAGTAGCCATATATTACTAGGGAAACATAACTTGGGATATAAACCAAATTTTACACATAAGAATTTTGGTTTTGGTAGGTCATAGAGCTTGAACTCAGGGCCTGGGCACTGTTCCTGAGCTTCTTTTGCTCAAGTCTAGCATTCTAACACTTTCCTGCTTTTTCTATTATGTGGTACTGAGGAACTGAACCCAGGGCTTCATACACAATCAGCAAGCACTCAACCACTAAGCCACATTCCTAGCCCACATAAGAATTTTATACATAAGCTGGGAAGGTGGCTCAGTGGTAGAGCGCTTGCCTTGCATGCCTGAAGCCCTGGGTTCAATTCCCCAGCACCACATAATCAAAAAGAAAAAAGCTGGAAGTGGCGCTATGGTTCAAGTAGTAGAGCGCTAGCCTTGAGCTGAAGAGCTGTTAGACAGCGCCCAGGCCCAGAGTTCAGGCTCCACGACTGGACCCCCCCCCCCCCCAAAAAAAGAATTTTATACATAAACAAGTATACAAATTGGTAATATACCTACATCAAGAAATTTTGTTCCTGTTACTGATTTTTGACCATCCTCTGCCACAAATACAAGAGATACACATACAACCAAGTACAATCATACTTGGCATGTAGGCTAAATGTTATTTTTTTAATGAATTTTTTTTTTTTTTTGGTCGGTCATGGGGCTTGAACTCTGGGCCGGGGCACTGGCCCTCAGCTCTTCAGCTCAAGGCTAGCACTCTACCACTTGAGCCACAGCGCCACTTCTGGTTTTCTGAGTGGTTTTTTGGACATAGAGTCTCATGACCTTTCCTATCCAGGCTGACTTTGAATCATGATCCTCAGATCTCAGCCTCCTGAGTAGCTAGGATGACAGGCATGAGCCACCAGTGCCTGGCTGAATTCTTGCAATCTTCAGTGTTGAGGCTAAAGGTGTGGCTCAGGTGGTAGGGTACCTGCCAATGAGCAGTAAGTGTCAGATACTGAGTTCGAATCCCAGTCTTGGACAAAAGAGAGAGTAAAAAAAGAAATAGACTAAAATAATATTTAGAGGCCACTTTCACAATTTAAGTTAATTTTACTAATTCAGAAAATTACAAGCTATGTGTGGTTTTTCCTACCCTTGTGAACTTAGAGCACATTTCCTCTGCTTCTTTTATCATATTTGCTCGAAGCATGTATTTTGCACATTTGGAATTAATGAATCTATCAGCTGTATCCAAAGACTGAGCTTCATCCATCCACTTTGCAGCTTCTCTGAGATTACCCATATGCTATAAGAGATGAAAGCATTAACCATCAAGAGTCTACGATCAAAAGAACCTTAATGAATGTAAGTTTAAAAAATAAGAAATTTGACATGATGCCTGCCAAAGTTACTAGAAATCTAGATAATAACAATTCCTGTTTACTAAGAATTTAATCAAGTGACTAACACTGATTACACAACTGTGTAGCATAAAAGTTCTTAGGATTATCAGAGTATTAGAGAAAGACTACTATAGGTGCTAGAAGTTACTGTTACAATTCTAAGGGTTATTAAAACAATTGAATTCTTCAACTAGTCAAAAAACATGATTAAGATTTTTACCTTGTAAATTTTTGCTTTCATATAGAATAATTCTATTAGAGTTGGAGTACTAGTTATTGCAACGTTAATATAATCCAAAGCCAAAGAATATTGTCCAAGTTTATCAAAGTGCTGGGCCAGGAAATACTGAACCCAAAGTAGAGTTGTTGGAGGTTCCTTCTCCCCATTCTCTGAAATTAAACAAGTATTAAATTCTTATAGGAAAGAATGCTAAGTAAAACAGACCACATACTTTATCCTATCATACTGCAATTAGTAGCTATTACAGTTTTAAAAAAAAAACAGCAAAAAATGATTCATTTCATCAGAAAGAAGTCTGACTTCATACCCCAAAGTTCAAAAGGTAATAGCAAAGCAGAGAGAATTAAAATCCTAGTTTGGCTGACTTCTAACACCAAACTCCCTCCAAAGAAAACAGTGGTGGGGGAAAAACATAAAATCAATCCAATTCTGTGAACTCTCAAGCTAAAAGAAAATATAAAGAGCCTACATGGAAAAAAAAAAAAAATCAAAGAATGTAATTTTAGCAGAAATAAGAATTGGCACACTGCCAGCATAGAGCCCTTTCTAGGCCTCAACACTATGTTAGAGAAAGCCAAAGCTGAAGGGTATGGCTCAAAGGAAGAGGATACACCCTTCACAAAAGACACATTTCTACCATGAAACTCTTGAAAGCATAGCCAAAGCTTCTAATAAAGATGGATATATATAGGCTGGGAAGGTGGCTCAGTGGTAGAGCACTTGCCTTGCATGCATGAGGCCCTGGGTTCGATTCCTCAGCACCACATAAGCAGAAAAAAACCGGAAGTGGCACTGTGACTCCAGTGGTAGAGCGCTAGCCTTGAGCTGAAGAGCTGAGGGACAGCGCCCAGGCCCAGAGTTCAGGCATCCACGACCCACAAAAAAAAAAAAAAAAAAGATGGATATAAACACAGATAGCTCTATGCTGCCTCTCCTGCACCAGCAAGCAATAGAAAAGTAGAAATAAACTTTCAAAATGGATTTCAGAAAAAAAGACACTAAAACCAAAATAAATTGGAAAAGAGTAAACTTATTACAACAAAACCAACAGGTTTCCTCTTACAGCTAACTAAATGACAAGACAATAAATGATGCGAACATATCACTGCATAAATTAGAACATTATAATGTGAGCAAATTCTTTAAAGGAAGAATTCCATGGCTAGGCATATAGCTCAGTCACAAGTTAAGTTCCTGGCTTTAACCCACATTATCACTACAAAAAAAAAAAAACTCTAATAAATGTTGAAACGTATACATTTAATAAATATAGCTAATATAGAAAATGAAGATTAAGAAATGAAAAAAAATGAAATGAGTACTGAAGTCCTTAGGTCAGCAGTCCATGATAAACCTTTTAATAGACTCATCAATCTAACATCAAATAAGAGCATCAGAATGCCTTCTGCCTCCTGATGTGATACACATCAAGCACAATGTACAGCCTGTAAAGTACTCAGCCAGCTTCTATCTACATTCCAAAAAAATATGATATATAATAAGAATGACATATAGTAAACTGATACCATGAGAAAGCAATCAGACAAATCTAAAATATGAAATGCTCTACAAAACAAATGATCTTTAAAAAAGATATTTTTAAAAAGAAGGGCTGATTATTGCCCTACATTAAATGAAAATAAAACCTCAATGCAAAAAGTAGCCTTAACTAGATTTAGATCGAAATATGTCCATTAAGCAAGAATGTATTATTCTGAATAATGAAGGAAACCTCAATGTAGACTGGGTACTAAATATTATGATACAGGATAATATGTATATATTAACTGGAAGTGCATACTTCCAGTGTTTTATTTGAAACATCGTATCTGAAATTTGCTTTAAAAATATTCAAAGGGCTGTGTACTGGTCCTGTAATCCTAGCGGCTTAGGAGGCTAAGATCTGAGGATCTCAGATTAAAGCCAGCCAGCGTAGGCAGGAAAATCCATGAGACTTTTTTTCCATGAGACTCTTATCTCCAATTAACCACCAAAGACTGGAAGTGGAACTGGGGCTCAAAGTGGTAGAATGCTAGCCCTGAGCAAAAAAGAGCTCAGGCACAGCGCCCAGGCCCTGAGTTCAAGCCCCACAACCAACAAGAAAAAAAGTACATAGATATAGATAGATAAAATACTTATGTAATGTATAAATGGTACATATATTCAAAGTATAATGATATGAAAAAGACAAATGAAAACCCTAGATATTATCTGCATGGCTGATAACAATCTAGTGAGTTTTCAATTAAGCTGTCTTGATTTATACATGCCCCCATAAATATGGAAACACATGACTAAATCACGCAGGATTAACAGTTTAAAAAAAAACACACAAAAACAAAAAACAGTAGAAAATGCAGAGAATTAAGGAATTCGGGAAAAATAGGTTCCAAATAAACTAACTGCTTGATGTTCAGCAAGCCACTCAACCTCTCAGGTCTGTTTACTTGTGTTAAAATAGGTCTAACTCCTACTCTGAAAGATTATGGAAATTTTAAGCCAAGTGCTGGTGGCTTATGCCTATTATCCTACCTACTCGGAAGCAGCCAGCCCAGGCAGAAAAGTCCGTGAAACTCTTATCTCCAAAAAACTACTCAGAAAAAGCCAGAAGTGGCACTGTGGCTCACTAACCTTGAGCACAAAGAGGCTCAGGGACAGCCTTGAATTCAAGCCCCAGAAGCAGAAAAACAAAAACAGGAATTTAAAAAAAAAAAAAGGGCTGGGAATGTGGCTTAGTGGTAGAGTGCTTGCCTAGCTAGCATGCATGAAGCCCTGGGTTCGATTCCTCAGTACCACATAAAAAGAAAAAGGCAGAAGTAGTGCTGGGCTCAAGTGGTAGAGTGCTAGCCTTGAGCAAAAAGCTTAGGGACACTTTTCAGCTTTTGTTCACCATCGTGGTTACTGTGCCTTCCAGAGCTTCCCATCATGTCTTCTCACAAGACTTTCAGAATCAAGCGGTTTCTGGCCAAGAAACAAAAGGAAAATCGCCCCATTCCCCAGTGGATTCGGATGAAAACTGGTAACAAAATCAGGTACAACTCCAAGAGAAGACACTGGAGAAGAATCAAGCTGGGTCTGTAAGGAATTGCTTCAGATGCTCACATATTTATGCTCTACCATGAACCAGTCAAGCTATAACGTCAATACTGCCTGGACTGACAGTTGGGCATTTTTTAAATTGATTTTTCTTTGGTTATTTTAATAATGGGCACAGTAATAAACATGTAACAAACATTACATTTGAATCATTTAAAAAAAAAAAAAGCTTAGGGACAGTACCCAGGCCCTCAGTTCAAGCCCAAGGACTAGTAAAAAAAAAAAAAAAAGACTGAAAGTGCTCTCATTTCATGAACTAGTTCAAAAGCTATTTAATAAGTAGCTAGCATGTAGCACACATATAATAAACAAAATAGTATTCCTGTGATTAAAAATAAATTGAAATGAGTAATCAAATTCCAATTCAATCTAAATTGAACTTACCATGGGGGCTAAAAAAGTCACACCTTTTAAGAGAGGCTTCATAATTTGTAACAAGTTCTTGGATTATAGAAACCTGTCAAAGAAACATTTAAATTTTTTAAGTTTACTAAAGGTATTTTAATTACTAATTAAATTAGATCTGAAAAACAGTTTATTTCAGGACATTGAACTACTAAGAGTATCACTATTAGGGCGTCTGCTTTGTTCCACCTGCCTATTTCAGGCAGGAGGTAAGAAAAAAGAACCTATACACTGCTGTTTTTATATACTGTTTGTTTGTTTTCCCGATTATGGGGCCTGAACTCTGGGCCTGGCCACTGTCCCTCAGCTCTTCAGCTCAAGGCTAGCACTCTACCACTTGAGCCACAGCACCACTTCCAGCTTTTTCTGCTTATGTGATGCTGAGGAATTGAACCCAGGACCTCATGCATGCAAGGCAAGCACTCTACCACTGAGCTACCTTCCCAGCCCCTTTATAAACAATTTTTTTTGGGGGGGAGGGGGACGGGGGGCCCGGTCGTGGGGCCTGAACTCTGGGCCTGGGCGCTGTCCCTCAGCTCTTCAGCTCAAGACTAGCACTCTACCACTTGAACCACAGCACCACGTCTGGCTTTTTTTTTCCCTGCTTATGTGGTGCTGAAGAATCGAACCTAGGGCCTCATGCAAGGCAAGCGCTCTACCACTGAGCCACCTTCCCAGCCCTAGAAACAATTTTTAAGAATAGTAATTTCTCATCTCAATAAGCATGTATAAGGTTTTGAAGGCAAATTATTATTACAAGCCAGGCACTGGTAGCTCATGCCTACAAGCCTAGCTACTCAGAAGGCTGAGATCTAAGGACTGTAGTTCAATGCTCACCCAGGCAGTAAAGTTCATGAGACTTTTATCTCCAACTAACTACAAAAGAAAACCAGAAGTGGTGCTGTGGCTCACTTGCTTGAGCAAAAGAGCTGATGGACAGCACCCAGACCCCCAGTTCAAGTCCAACAACAACAACAACAACAAAAAGTATTATTACAATACCTATTTTTTTTTTTTTTGGGTCCGGTCGTGGGGCCTGATGGGCCTGGGCGCTGTCCCTCAGCTCTTCAGCTCAAGGCTAGCGCTCTACCACTTGAGCCACAGCACCACTTCCAGCTTTTTTTCTTTTTGCTTATGTGGTGCTGAGAAATCGAACCCAGGGCCTCATGCATGTAAGGCAAGCGCTCTACCACTGAGTCACCTTCCCAGCCCCTACAATACCTATTTTTAAAATAAATACACCATGTATTTATTAACAGCAATCTTTTGGCCTTTTATTCCCATTTGGTGAAGCTATAAGACATATAAATATTCAGATTTCCAAAACTGCTACTCCTTATTAAAAAGTCAAGTAAAAAGATTCTAGGGTTGAGAGGTAAACATGAAATTTTAAATGACTATATTTTGCCTATTATTGCTAGTAACTCTGGCAAAGGGAAGAAAGTTAAACCTACACTTAATTACAGGTTTTCTGCCCAATTTTAAAACAAGTTCTGAAATTTTACTTACTATTTATTTGGTGAAAATTAGAGCTTTAGTTATTTTTATTTTCAGAAGAAAAAAAGCCATTTCCTTCTTTCTCAGGTCTCTTTACCAATTAATCAAAATTTATTATGGCTTCCCACCAATAGAATTAAGACAGGCAGTAAGGAAATAAAATGGAACCACATTAACAATCAGGAAAATGGGAAACAGAAAAAAAAGATGTCAAGAAAATTTACATGCAATGATTTCACTAACACATTCAGAGAAATACACTCAGTGAAAGTATGAGTCGATTACAGTGGTCAAAAATGGGTATATTATTTTTGTTTTAAATAATGAAATGTATGGTTTTTTAATATAGTGGTTCCACTGGGCATGGTGGCATGTTTTTGTAATCCTCACATGAGAGGCTGAAGTAGAAATATCCTGTGTTTAAGTCCAGCATAGTCTATCTTGTGAGGCAAGCAAAACAGAAGAGGGGAGAGGAAAGGAGGAGAAGGAAAGAGAGGGTGGCTTTTGTTCATATCAAAAAACTGTTTTCTCTGTAAAAAGAAATCTCTGCATACATTTCATTTACAGAGTAAAACAGTGGTCATCAAAGGCTAGGAAAAGAGGGGAACAAAGAAAAAGTGGGCAATGGATAGAGAGATACAGTTGGATAGGAAGATTAAGTTCTAATGCTCCATAGCAAAGCAGGGTAACAATAGCTCTTAACAATTTTTTTTTGTATTTCATAAAAACTGTTAAGAGAGGAGCTGAAGATTCCCAGTCAAAGAAATGATATAGATTGAAGAAATGTTAATTCCTCTACTTGATCATTATATACTACACATATTTTGAATTATTACACTGTATCCCATAACATGCATTTATATCAATATTGTACACATTTTGAATTATTACACTGTACCCCATAAACATGCATTTTATATCAATAAAATAAATGCCAAATTATAATTTTATCATTATTTGTTTTTACCAAAGTTTGATTATTTTGGTTTTAGGAAGAATAGTACTGAAAGTATGATCCTCAGATCATTAACATCATCAAGATTCAGTACCACCCAGTAACTTGTTAGAGACACATACTTTTGGACAGCACCCCAGACAGAAAGAATCAACATTTCTGATTCAACACTATCTGTTTAACAAGTCCGCTAGTTAAGTCTGATACACAAGTAAGAGATTGAGAACTACTAATACTACAAAACAAAGTTAAAGATAATGGATATCTTGAATCTATCATGACCACCAATTTCACTTAGACTACCAATAACTAAAAATGTATTTTTTCTAGGCTTAAATTTTTAGTACTCAAATTGCATAGGCAATTTTTTTCATGAACTTAAAATGCCATCTACTGGCAGTCTGGAAAAACTGCAACTAGGGTATTTTTAAATAGGGTGTGTACTTTAGTTACTGGAGAATAAAATGCTGAGTAAATTGTAATAATAATTATAGGTAACTAAACAAATAACAAAAAAATTAGTAAGAAAAAAAGTATAAGACATATACCAAACAGAAATATAAACATGGGTTGGATGACTGGCTCAAATAGTAAGTAGAGTATCTGCCCAGCAAACACATGACCCTGAGTTCAAGTAGAGTATCTGCCCAGCAAACACATGACCCTGAGTTCAAACCCAAGGAACACACACACCCAAAATATAAACACCTATATATTTGGGGCGGGGGGGGGGGGGGGCGGATGAGTTGGGGGAGTACTGGTCTTGGCGCTTGAACTCATCCTGGATACTATCCCTGAGCTTTACTGCTCAAGGCTAAAGCTCTACCACTTGAGCCACAGCTCCACTTAAGGCTTTTCTGTTGTTTTTGAGTAGTTTATTGGCAATAGAGACTCATAGACTTCCCTGCCCAGGCTGGTTTCAAACCATGATCCTTAGATCTCAGCCTCTTGAGTAATTAAGATTACAGGCATGAGTATCTGGTATCCAACTTAGATATATGCATACACATGCACACACAATGTGTGTGTGCATGTATATACAGCATAAGGCCCTGAGTTCAAGCCCCAGTACTGGTATACACAAAAAAGCTAGTCATGGGGCTGGGAAGGTGGCTCAGTGGTAGAGCGCTTGCCTTGCATGCATGAGGCCCTGGGTTCGATTCCCCAGCACCACATAAGCAAAAAGAAAAAAGCCGGAAGTGGTGCTGTGGCTCAAGTGGTAGAGCGCTAGCCTTGAGCCGAAGAGCTGAGGGACAGTGCCCAGGCCCAGAGTTCAGGCCCCACAACTGGACCCAAAAAAAAAAAGAGAGAGAGAACTATAGACCCATTTCTTTGATGACCATCGATGCAAAACTTCTCACAAAATTCTGACCAATCAACTTCAATAATTCACACACACAAAAAAATCATACACAATGATCAAAAAGGATTCATTCCAGGGATGCAAAGCTGGTTCGATATACGCAAGTCAATATACGTAATTCATCACATCAAAAGGAACAAAGACAACAACCACATCTCAATAGATGCAGAAAAAGTATTTCACAAGAACCATACCCCTTTATGATGAAAGCTCTGGAGAAACTAGGAATCCATGGAACATTCTTCAATATAATAAAGGCTATGTATGACCAACCTACAGCCAGCATTATACTTAATGGCGAAAAGCTAAAGCCATTTTCTCTGAATTCAGGAATGAGACAAGGATGTCCACTCTCTCCACTTCTCTTCAATTTAGTATTAGAATGCCTAGCTACAGCAATAAGGCAAGACGCAAACATAAAGGGAAACCAGATAGGGAAAAATAAAGTAAAACTTTCCCTCTTTGCAGAGAACTTGAGTCTATACTATATTTAAAGAATCTTATACACTCCACTCCCAAGTTACTCAAGCTGATCCAAAACTTTGGCAAAGTAGCAAGGCATAAATAAAATCAACTCTCAAAAATCAATGGCTAGCTGAGCATTGGAGGCTCACACCTATAACCCTGCTACTCAGGAGGCTGAGATCTGAGGATCACAGTTCAAAGCCAGCCCAGGCAGGAACGTCTTGAGACTCTTATCTCCAATTAACCACCAGAAAACTCGAAGTGGCGCTGTGGCTAAAGTGGTAGAGCATCAAGGCTCAGAGTTCAAGCCCCATGACCAAAAAAAAACAAAAACAAAAAAAGGCTTCTCTAAATGCAATAATGATAAGAGTATGGCTGAAATCAGGAAAGCTCCTCCTTTTCTAATAGCTCCCCAAAATAAAATACCTAGGAATTCATTTAACCAAAGAAGTGAAGGATCTCTATGACGAAAACTTTTAAAACCTGAAAAAGTAAATTAAAGCAGAACTAAGGAAGTGGAAAAACTTCCCAGGCTCCTGGATTAGGAAGATTGTGAAATTAAACCAGAACTGAAGAAGTAGAAAAACCTCCCAGGCTTCTGGATTAGGAGGATTGTGAAAATGGCAATACTTGTAAAGGCTATCTACAAATTCAATGTAATACCCATCAATTTCCTAACATCATTCTTTAATGAAATAGAGGAAGCAATCCAAAAATCCATATGAAATAACAAAAGACCCTGAATAGCAAAAGCAATCCTTAGCGGAAAGAACAGTCCTGGAAGAATATCAATACCAAACTTCAAACTCTATTACAAAGCTATAGTAATAAAAATAGCTTGGAACTGGCACAAGAACAGACCTCAGGACCAATGGAATAGAACTGAAGACCCAGAAATGAACCTGCAAACCTATGGCCACTTAATCTTTGGTAAAGAAGCCAAAAAAATAGGGTGGAAGAAAGACAGCCTCTTCAGTGCTGGCAAAATTGGTTAAACTTTAACCTGTAGAAAACTAGTTAGATCCTTATATATCACCCTGCACCAGAATCAATTCCAAATAGATCAAAGACCTCAAAATAAAAGCAGACATCCAAAAACATTACAGGAAGGTATAGGAGAAACTCTAGGGCTCCTTGGCACAAGCTGAAATTTTCTTAATAAAGACCCAGAAACACAACAAATCAAATAAAGGTTGAACAAGTAGGATTGCAATTAGACTGTAGAGCTTCTGCATGGCAAAGGACATAGCTAGCAAGATCAGTAGAAAGCCCACAGATTGTGAGACCTTCACTAACTATACAACAGACAAGGGCCTTGTATCTAAAATATACTTAGAACTCAAAAATTAAATCCCCCAAAAACAAATCCTCAAAGAAGCAACCACCCGATTAATAAGTGGGCTAAAGATTTAAAAAGACTTCTCTGAAGAGGAAATAAGAATGGCCAAGAAATGATTAACTTCTCTGGCCATAAAAGAAATGCAAATCAAAACAACATTGAGATTCCACCTCACCTCAGTTAGAATGACTATAATCAAGAAATCTAATAATAGATGCTGGAGGGGATGTGGCCAAAAGGGAACCCTACTACACTGTTGGTGGAAGTGTAAATTTATTCAACCACTCTGGAAAGCATTATAGAGGTTCCTCAAAAGACTCCACATAGAGCTCCCCTATGACCCAGCAATCCCACTTCTGGGCATTTACCCAAATGACAGCAAACAAGGCTACACTAAATCTACCAGCACAACTATGTTTATTGCAGCATTATTTACCAAGATATGGAATCAACCCAGATGCCCCTCAGTTGATGAATGGATCATGGATCGAGAAAATGTGGTGTGTGTGTGTGTGTGTGTGTGTGTGTGTGTGTGTGTATACACACACACAAGAAAATGTGGTATGTATGTGTGTAAACACACACATACACACAAATAGAATTCTATACACCCATCAGAAAGAATGACACTGCCCTATTTGTAAGGAAATAGAAGGACTTGGAAAAAAAATCATACTGAGTGAAGGAAGCCAAACCCAAAGAAACACAAGTCCCATTGTCTCCCTTATTTGTAGTAATTAGTATATACCTAGGATAACCTTAGCAGATGAGGAGAATAGCTCAATAGCTATGTACATGTGACCATATAAGATAATGCTAAGCGAAATGAACTCCATGACATGGACACAAAAGGTTTTTATTGGGGCTGGGAAGGTGGCTCAGTGGTAGAGCGCTTGCCTTGTATGCATGAGGCCCTGGGTTCGATTCCTCAGCACCACATAAAGCAAAAAGAAAAAAGCCGGAAGTGGCGCTGTGGCTCAAGTGGAAGAGTGCTAGCCTTGAGCCGAAGAGCTGAGGGACAGCGCCCAGGCCCAGGGTTCAGGCCCCACAGCCGGACCCAAAAAAAAAAAGTTTTTATTTGTTGTTGTTTTTTTAATATACTCTTGTGACTCTTTTGTTTCTTTTGTATGTTCTTCCCCCTATGGTATATCCCCTGTTGTCACTGTATTTGATTTTGGGATCCTGGTATTATATATACATTTATTTGAATCAGGCAAGAGAAGGGGAACAACAGAATGGTGAGACACAGGATGGGGGTGGGGGAACCAATGTAACAGCCATATACACAAGACAGTATGTTTGAAATTATCTGTACAACTTGGGAGGGGGGAGGTGGGAGGGAGAGAAAGAGGGAGAAAAAAATGAGGGAAGGGGTAACAAGTTAGACAAGAAATGTAATCACTACCTTACTTATGTAACTGTAACCCCTCTGAACATCACCTTGACAATAAAAATTTTTAAAAATATTAATATTTTCAAAGGTTTTGGGTTTTTTAAATTAACATATGTTAGTTGTACAAGCAAGATTTGTTGTGACTTTTTGTTCACCAGTACTGGGGCTCCCACTCAGGGCCTCATGCTCTCCCTTAACTTTTTTGCCAAGGCTGGTGATCTACCCCTTGAGCCACAGTTTCACTTCCAGCTTTTTGGTGATTAATTGGAGATATGCGTCTCATATGCTTTACTGCCCTTATTGGCTTCATAATCCTAAAATCTCAGCCTGAGTAACTAGGCCAACTCATTGTGATATTCCCATACAAGCCTACAATGTACTCTATAAACCTCACACCTTCTATCACTCTCCGTTATCATTCTCCCCTCTTCTGAAAATAATTTCAGCAATTTTCTATTTTTATCCATGCATATAGGTGTGTCAATCATATTATCCCTCGTTTGCCCTCTCCATTAACCGTCTCTCCTAATACCACTCCCCACTCTGCTGTCATCTTTTTTTTTTTTTTTGGGGGGGGGGGGGGTGTGTGGTCCGGTCATGGGGCCTGAACTCTGGGCCTAGGCACTGTCCCTCAGCCCTTCAGCTCAAGGCTAGCTCTCTACCACTTGAGCCACAGTGCCACTTCCGGCTTTTTTTCTTCTGCTTATGTGGTGCTAAGGAATTGAACCCAGGGCTTTATGCATGCACGGCAAGCACTCTACCACTGAGCCACCTTCCCAGATCTGTCATCTTCTTTTTTAGTATATATTAATTATACAAAAGGATTTCCCTATGGTATTTTGTACATGTATATATTGTATTTTCTTTACTACCTCTCTAAAAATAATCTTATAATCATCTCAAAGTTTTTGCTTTCTGTAAATTTCATAGATTGATTTTCCTCAGATATTATTTATATCAACTATATATAGTTTTAGTTATCTGTTATTAGACTTAATTACTAAGGTAAACAACATTAATAGAGAAATGAGATTAATTCATAGCATATATTACTTGGAAATCTTTCTATAAGAATAGTAAAACTGAATAAATACCAAATTTTACCTTTTCTGTATTGTAATATAAAGATTTCAAAGTAGTGAACAAGGGTGGGCACCCTTTACTGAAGTTTGCTCTCAGGAACTTATCCACTGGTTCTCTAAATTTTTCACCTAGAAACAAAAGCACATTCTGTTATGTTTGATTGATATAAGTAATTCTTAAATGATTTTGCAAATAAAAACAAAGGTCCCTCATAAATAATTATGCCCTACTCAACATTTTTTTTAACATTTTAGCAAGGATTATTTTAATAAAACAGGATTAAAGTAAAGTGATAGAAAAACAGTTCCTACTCCCCATGCAGGGAATGGGAGTTAAAGACTCACCCTATTCAACTTACTTTTTTTTGCCAGTCCTCGGGCTTGAACTCAAGGCCTGGGCACTGTCCCTGAGCTTCTTTTGCTCAAGGCTAGCACTCTATCACTTGAGCCACAGCGCTACTTCTGCCTTTTTCTGTTTGTGTAGTACTGAGGAATCAAACCTAGGTCTTCACACATGCTTGGCAAGCACTCTACCACTAAGCCATATTCCCAGCCAGCCCCCTATTCAACTTTTAAGCCCCCCAAAATTAAGCACCAAAACTTCAATTGGCTACTCTATACTATATGTCCCCTGGAAGTAGGTTAAAAATATCTTCAAAGAATATTTTTTAAATAGGTAAGCAAAAGGATTGGGCAGTTTAAAAGAATAAACATAACCCACTAATCATCCTAAACATAGCCAACACCAAGCATTTGCTTGACCTCTCACTCACTAGTATAGACCAAGTCTTATCTACAACTCAAACCCTATAGACAACTCATAAAGCACTCTGAAGACTCCTATAGCCGGCAGTATAATCAAGGACTAGTCGAATTATCTTTTTAAACACAATCATCACTGAAAAATAAAAGATTTTATTGTCTTGTCAGAAGCTACTCTAAATTCCTTTTCTCAGTCACCTTTGTCTAATTCAGATTATACTGAAGATTTTATTTAAAAGATAAATTATCCAACTCACAATTATTCATAATACTGAAAGCAATTACTAGATTATCTGAGACCATACAGATATGAGAAAGAATGAAAATGCTTTTCATGCACTGAAAAAGGACAGATCTCTGAACAGTGAAAAGGAAGTCCAGATGCACAACAGTTCATTTTTGTTAAGACAGAAGAAAAAGAAAGCTGTACACAAACTTCTCACACATTTTTCTTGTCTTTGCATAATTTATTTCTAGAAAAATACACCAACTAGTAACAACGGTTGTCTAGAAGTAAACTCAGCCAGTGAGAAAGGCAAATTACTTCACTCATCATCCTTTTTATATCCCTTTAATTTGAAATTAGATGGACTAGTTTTATAAGAAGCTTGCATAGTCACAAACCATATTCCAAAATTACTACTTATCTCATTGTTTTTTCTTTTGTATTATTATTCTTTGGGGGAAGGGGGGGGTCCGGTCACGGGGCCTGAACTCTGGGCCTGGGTGCTGTCCCTCAGCTCTTCAGCTCAAGGCTAGCACTCTACCACTTGAGCCATAGCACCACTTCTGGCTTTGTTTTTTCTTTAGATATAAGAAAAACCTTTCACCAGGAGTAGTGGCTGCCACTTATAATCCCAATAATCCCAGTGACTCAAGAAGTAAAAATTGGGAGGATAGGCTGGGAAGGTGGCTCACTGGTAGGCAGAGCGCTTATCTTGCATGCATGAGGCCCTGGGTTCAAATCCTCAGCACCACATAAACAAAAAGAAAAAAGCTGGAAGTGGCACTGTGGCTCGAGTAGTAGAGCGCTAGCCTTGAGCTGAAGAGCTGAGGGACAGTGCCCAGGCCCAGAGTTCAGGCCCCATGACCAGACCCCCCCCCCCAAAAAAAAAAATCGGAAGGATACAGTTTGAGATCACCCAGCAAAAAACCAGTGTGATCCCATCTCAAACAGCCAGGAGTGGTGGTACATGTCTGTCATCCCACATACACAGGAAGCAGAAATATTTGTATCACAGTCCAGGCCTACCCAGGCAAAAACATGAGCCCCTATCCCAAAAACGAATAAAGCAAAGCAGAAAGAGCTGGAAGTACAGTTCAAGTATAGAGATCTCCTAGCATGAACATGGTTTATTTTTTTTTTTTTTGGGGGGGGGGGGGTCTGGTCATGGGGTCTGAACTCTGGGCCTGAGCGCTGTCCCTCAGCTCTTCAGCTCAAGGCTAGCGCTCTACCACTTGAGCCACAGCGCCACTTCCAGCTTTTTTCTTTTTGCTTATGTGGTGCTGAGGAATCGAACCCAGGGCCTCAGGCATGCAAGGCAAGCGCTCTACCACTGAGCCACTTCCCAGCCCAGAACAAGGTTTTTTAATAAAAGATATACCTTGAGACTGATTTTAAAAAAAGAACTGAAAAAAAAATTTCAAAAAGCTACTTATGGCATGATTCCATGTATATAAATGTCAGAACAGTCAAATCTACACACACACAAAAGGAGTGCCAGAAAGTGAGGTTAACAGTAGCTCCTAGTGGTTAAGAGATTTCTGGTGGGGGGTGGGGGTGGGGGGGAAGATGGGATAGGAAGGGGAAAGAAAGGAGGAAGCAACAACGCTTGATAAGCAATGTACTCATTATCTTGCCCATGTAATTGTAACCCCTCTGTACTGTATTTTCACAATAAAAAAAGACTTCTGTTTAGAGTAATGAAACTTTCTGAAACCACATAGTAATAATCCATCATCCAGTGAATATACTAAAATACTGAGTGACACCTGAAAAGAGTGGGTTCTATATTTTAATTATCTTTCAACAAATATTTTTAAAAAGAGACACAAGATTAGGCAGTAGCTCATGCCTGTAATCCTAGCTACTCAGGAGGCAGAAATCTGAGGATCATGATTTGAAGCTAGCACTGGCAAGAAAAGTCTATGAGATTCTAATTTCTAACCACACACACAAAAAAACAACAACAAAAAAAACTTAAATGGAGCTGTGGCTCAAGTGGTACAATAGTAGAGAACTCGTCTTGAGCAAAAGAAGCTTGGACCCTGAGTTCAAGCCCAGAACCAACAGGAAGGGAAGGGAAAGGAGGAGAGGAAGAACAGGGAGGGGAGGGGAGGGAAGGGGAGGAGAGGAGGAAAGAAACGAAAGAAAAGAAGAAAAAGAGAAAGAAAAATATGAGCTTAAGCATCTTCCATAGAACATTCATTTGGTAAATGCTCCTCCTTGCACAGTATTTTCCCATCTCAGAAAGTCACATACAGATAACAACTCTAAGCAGCCCTGTAAGAACACTGTTGATGTGTTTCACCCAGTTTCCCAACCCACTCGAATAAGAATATCCCAGCATTCCAGAATCTGCCCCACCGAGCCCAATAATACTCCCTAAACTCAATGTTCTGGTTTCAGAATTTTATCAAATAAAAAATAAACAGGGAGGATCAAAATAGCAATATTCCCATCTGCTGAACTAAAATGTGTTGATGAGAAATTACCTTTTTTAATAAATTCTACTACCTAATCCAATAGATTGCTAAGAAATATTTCAGATTTTTTGAGTGAACTATTTAATTTTCATGAAAACTTTCATAAAAACAAAATTATAATATCATTACTTAAGCACATATTTCAACTATAAATGAGAATTCATTAAAAAAAATATACTCTAATCCATTCCATATACCCAGAATAAATTTGTAAAAGTCTAGACTCTGCTTTCTACCAAAGTGCCTAAAGTCTTTAGAATTCATAACCTTCTAGCACTTACAAGTAAAAATAAGAGTTTAGCCAGATGCCAGTGGCTCAAGCCTGTAATTCCAACTACTTAGAAGGCTGAGAAGAAGAGGATCATGGTTCAAGGCCAGAATGGGCAGAAAAATTCATCAGACCTCTACTCAACCAATAGCTAGGTGCAATGGCATATACCTGTCATCCTAACTACATTGGAGGCTAAGATGGGTAAGACAGCAGGTCAAGCCAGACTGAGCAGAAAAGTACCCATGACTTCATCTCAACAAAAACTGGGCATGGTAACATGTCATCCCAGATTTTCAATGCAAAGCCTAAAATAGGTAAATCAAAGGGAAGGAATCAAGACCTGATCTCAAAAATAACCAGTGCAAAAGAAAGGGATGGAGATGTGACTCAGCAGTCGCCTGTCTGCCTATCAAGTTCATGCTTGGCCCTGAGTTCAAACCTCAGCACCAGCCAATGATGATAGCACAAAATAAATCGAGTTCTATAAATAAAACAAATGGCAAAATTCTGGAATGTAATTAACTCTGGTGAGAGATAGTATTATAATTTAGATATGAAATTTCCCTCAAGAAAGCTCATAAAGCCGGGCGCCGGTGGCTCACACCTGTAATCCTAGCTACTCAGGAGGCTGAGATCTGAGGATCTCGGTTCAAAGCCAGCCCAGGCAGGAGAGACCATGTGACTCCTATCTCCAATAAACCAGAAAACCAGAAGTGGCGCTGTAGCTCAAGTGGTAGAGCATTCGCCTTGAGCTGAAGAGCTGAGGGATAGTGCCCAGGCCCAGTTCAAGCCCCACGACCGACAAAAGAAAAAAAAAAAAAGAAAAAAGAAAGCTGATAAAGGTGGCTCAGTGATAGAGTGCTTGCCTCGCAAGCATGAGGCCTTGGGTTCGATTCTTCAGCAACACATAAGCAGAAAAAGCCAGAAGTGGCTCTGTGGCTATAGTGGTAGGACACTAGCCTTTTGCTAAGGAGCTGAAGAACAGTGTACTGGCCCCACGACCTACAAAAAAAAAAGGAAAAAAGAAAGAAAGCTCATGTGTTAAGGCTCAGTTACAAGCTGATGAGAGGCTTATTGTATTGAAATGTGACATCATGAGGGTGCTAACCTCACTAATGGATTGTGCTCCATTCACTGATGAGTTCAGGCCTGAATGGACCATTAAGATAGTAGGACCTTACTGAAGGAAGCAGGTCACTAGGGGCATGCTTTTGAAGGGTATATCTTTTCTGTGTTCTAATTGCAGGCTTCTACAGGATAAACAGTTCTACTCTACTATGCCTTCTCACCAAAGGCCCAGAAACCAATGGAACCAAACTACTATGGATTGAAACCTCTGAAACCATGAACCAATGTAAACCTTTTCTCCTTTAGGATGTTTATCTTAGGTACATTATCACAGAGACAAAAAGCTAACACAATGCTTCAAACATCTTAAACACTGCAGCCTACCCAGTGGCTCACGCCTATAATCCTGGCTACTCAGGAGGCTGAGATCTGAGGACAACAGTTCAAAGCCAGCCCCGGCAGGAAAGTACATGAGACTCTTATCTCCTATTAACCACCAGAAAACTGGAAGTGTCGCTGTGGCTCAAACACTAGGCTTGAGCTGAAAAACTCAGAGGCAGTGCCCAGACCCAGAGTTCAAAACCCATGACTGATAGAAAAAAAAACCCAAAACAAAAAAACACTGCAGTGGGCAGTTCACAACTCTTCCTTTGAATATATACCTAAAGATAAAAACTAGAAAACTTTAAAACTTAAATCATTTCTCATATATAATTCATCATCAATTATTCTAAGAACTTCATTCACATGTTAAATGTGTTTTTTGTTTTGTTTTGTTTGCTTTTTTGCCAGTCCTGGGCACAGTCCCTGTGCTTCTTTTGCTCAAGACTAGCACTCTACCACTAAGCCACAGAACCACTTCCGGCCTTTTCTGTTTATATGGTACTGAGGAATCGAACCCACGGCTTCATGCATGCTAGCCAAGCATTCTACCACTAAAGCCACCTTATCAGGCCATTAAATGTGTTTTTTAAAAAGTTACATAAGAAGCTGCGGGCCAGTGGCTCATGTCTGTAATCCTAGCTACTCAGGATGCTGAGATCTGAGAATCATAGTTGGAAGTCAGCCCAGGCAGGAAAGTCCATGTGACTTTTTCTTGTGCAATTTTTTAATTTTTTTAAATGCTGATTCTGGGGCTTGAACTCAGGACCTACACACTGTCCCTGAGCAATTTTACTCAAAGTTAGCAAACCCATGTGAGCCACAGCTCTACTTGCAGCTTTTAGAAGTAAACGATTCATAGTCTTTCTTGTCGGGGCTGGCTTCAACCCACAATCCTCAGATCTCAGCTTCCTGAGTAGCTAGGATTAAAAATATAAGTGAGCTACCAGTATCTGGGAAGAAAAATTTTTATATAGCCAAATTATGATACTTAAAAAAGAATATTCAGGGGCTGGGAAGTTGGCTCAGTGGTAGAGCGCTTGCCTTGCATGCCTGAGGCCCTGAGTTCGATTCCTCAGCACCACATAAGCAAAAAGAAAAAAGCCGGAAGTGGTGCTGTGGCTCAAGTGGTAGAGCGCTAGCCTTGAGCTGAAGAGCTGAGGGACAGCACCCAGGCCCAGAGTTCAGGCCCCACGACCGGACCCAAAAAAAAAAAAAGAATATTCAGTTACACATTGAATTGTAGTACTGTCCTTAAACATATGTATAATGAAACTCAAAACTGATAACTATTACTCCGTAAGATTAGTACTAAAACTAAGTTTTTAAAGTATGAATGGTATTAATTTTGTCAAGTAATTTTAAGTTACAAAGATATCCTAGTATTACCTGTGACAAGATTCAAAGGTAATCTTCTAGGTACAATTGCTCTGGGATGCTGCTGACTAATTTCTTCATAAATCTGAAGCCTCTCTTCTAAAGTACCTATTATGGGTAAATATGTATAAAATTCATAGTATTATAATTTCATCTGTGAATAAAACACTAGCACTTTAAAATGTCATAAGACTGGCATTATCAATATTAAAGTTGCTCTCAATTGACAAGAATGACATTTACAACTCTGTAGCAGTAAAATACAATAATCACTAAATCATCATTTTAAATGCAATTTCCAGAGATATCCAATTCTTATTTCATCACATTAGACACAACATCCAATTCCAATCATATCCACCCAAGTCATATAGAGACATGCTGTATTTCTCTTACATTCTGAGCACTTATCCTCTTATAATACATCCTTATGTCTAAATCAATGAGGTCTACACATATTCCTCCATAGTCTAATACACCTATTGATTGGGCTTAAAGAAGGAAATGTTTTTAGGACCACATTGCAAATGTTTTATAGCTTAAAAGATTAATATCTATGGTTGCTTTGACACAAAATCTTTACTGAAATTCCATTACAAAAGGAACCTCTAGATTCTTTAAAGTGGTAACCATCTCTGCCAAATGACGTATATATACTTCTAACAGAAGTATATCTTCATTCCCAAAACTACCTACTTTTCTAGTACTACACAAAGAATCTGCATGTAAACTATAAATTATTTGCAACATCAATAAAAAGAACATATTTGAATATGTAGTTCATTATTCTAAAATATCCTACATACATGTATACAAGGGAAGACTATGTTGCATAATCTATAAGACAAGTTACAGTAGAATCTTCAAAGCAAAAACATACCTCTTTTGAACTTATTGTCTAAACGGATTTTAATTCAGAACACAAAAATATAATAATTCTTGGTGCTAGCAAACAAGGTATTTTCATAATAAATTTAGTTTAGTGTCAGTATTATAAAAACACTGCACTTCAAGAAATGTTTGACTTTGTGTACACACAGTCTCTCCCCCAGTAATCTGTTTTAGAGCTCCAATGTGCTTGGATTTTTTTAAAGTGGGAAATATAAAAAATAATGTTTCACATTCTATAACCACTTGGGGACTTCTAATAAGGACCCTTACATTAAAATTTATAATGAAGCCTACTAAGTATTTTTAAGTAGTAGTGCTTATATTGACTTCTAATAGAGAACAACAAGCTGTAAATATGATTAAAGGATTTCTCAAAGATTTCTAGAGATGTAAAAAGTCTCACAAATATAGTTAAATTACCATTAAGATAAATGATGCATTTCAATGCCCTACTACAAGTCACAAGTTGGAGCTCCAGAACTTACTACCATGGAGGAGAAAATATCTTAAGGAACCTAAAAAAATGCAGTTAGTTTTTTGGTCAACATAGTTTATAGTAACCAGGGATGATACACTTATTTTAATAAAACATTTAAATACTTTTACTAGTTTTTTTTTAGATCAGTAATCAATGGTTCAGGAAAAAAACAGTCATTTCATATTTCCCAACTTCAGACTTAAAATCAAAATCATCTTGTCTCAGCCTCCTACTGCTGGGATTACAAGATTTTTAAATGGGTGAAAAACTACAATTACCGATAAAAATTACCATTTAAGTGTCATTTTTTAAATTTATCTTCACCACTACATTCAATCTATAATGTTATTACAAGGAAAAACAAGTATAACACTAAAAGTATTAGTTCTCAAGGATTATTACAATTTTACACTTTATATACTTCAAACACTAGTTAAGGTAGAAAAGAGAAATCTTTACATACTAAGTTGTAGAGCTTTTTCCAAGCCTTCATAATAACACCAGTTTTCTGCATTCCGATCAATCAAGTTTTTGAATACTTCACTGGCTTCTTTTAATCTTCCCAATCTCAACAATATTTCCCCTAAAATTGTTTTAAATCATATATTCATTTTACTTTAACAATATGTTTCTAGCCCAGAGATTTCACTAGGCAACATTAGTGAGCAGGTGTTTATGAAAAAGAGAACGTTGTTTCCCTCTGATACATGCTGCTTCAGTTTGTGCAACTAAACACAGGCTCCTTCATAGCTTACTTCAGAAATGACCTTCATTTAAGCATTCTACCTTACTAATATTCATTTATGGCTCTCTCCCACCTACTAAATATAGTATGTATGACACTAATTTTTGGTTGTTGTTTCTGTTGGTTGTGGGGCTTCAACTTTGAGCCTGGGCACTGTCCCTCAGCTCTTCAGCTCAAGACTAGTGCTCTACCACTTGAGTCACAGCACCACTTACAACATTATAATTTTTTAGAAAAATATCCTTGCATTACTTTTATCTACTCTTTAAGTTAACTAAGGACTCCTCTACACAGCCAAATTAGTTTGGCAAGAAATTCTAATGAAATATGCCTATCTACTTCCAAAAAGATGTAAATGTATCTTTCCTGAGAAAGGGTCTCATTGTTCAGTTAAGATTGGGCTTGAAATCAAAATCACCCTGTCTTTGCCCCCTAGAGCTAGCATTCTAGGCAAATGCTCAAATATTAAGTAATTCCCCACTAAATTCTACAGGTCACTAAAATTAGAGAAATTAACTTAGCAAAATTATAAAACCCAACATTACTTCATACTAAAAACTCACGCAAACCATGTCCATGGCAAGTCAGTAAGTCAGTCACTTTCATTTTGGTAAAGTGAAAGTGGGTGTTGAGAATGAGGAACTAAACCCTTAATATAGTGATAATCATATGTAATCCAAGATTTAAAAAAAAAAACTCTTAATATTGAACATAGCAAACTGGGTACCAATGGCTGGTACCATAACCCAACAACTCAGAAGGCTAGGATCTGAGGATCACGATCACAGTTCTAAGCCAGTCTAGGCAGGAAAGTCCATGGGACTCTTATCAATTAACCACCAAAAAAAAAAATCAAAAATGGAAGTGGAGCTGTGGCCCAAGTAGTAGACTCTTAGTCTTTTTTTTTTTTTTTGGGTCCGGTCATGGGGCCTGAACTCTCGGTCTGGGCACTGTCCCTCAGCTCTTCAGTTCAAGGCTAGCGCTCTACCAGTTGAGCCACAGAGCCACTTCCGGCTTTTTTTCTTTTTGCTTATGTGGTGCTGAGGAATCGAACCCAGGGCCTCTGGCATGCAAGGCAAGCGCTCTACCACTGAGCCACCTTCCCAGCTCCTAGACTCTTAGTCTTGAGCAAAACCAGAAGTGGAGCTGTGGCTCAAGTGGTACAGTGCTAGTCTTGAACAAAAAAGTTCAGGGATAGCACCCAGGCCCTGAGTTCAAGTCCCTAGACCAACACACACACACACACACACACACACACACACACACACACACACTCTCTCTCTCTCTCTCTCTCTCTCTCTTTCTATCTCTCTCCCCCTTTCTCTCTCTCTTTCCCCCTTTCTCCCTCTCTCTCTCTGAACAAATCTCAGATTCCTGTCACCAACATTTTCCATTCTCTAAAGGATCTATTTCAAACATATAAAACCTTTTAAATAGCTAAGTGCTGGTGGCTCATGCCCGTAATCCTAACAACTCAGGAGGCTGAGATATGAGGATCATGGTTCAAAGCTAGCCCAGGCAGGAAAGTCCATGAAACGATTTATCTCCAATAAACCACCAAAAACCGGAAGTGGCACTGTGGCTCAAGTGGTAGAGCACTAGCCTTGAGCTGAAGAGCTGACGGACAGCGCCCAGGCCCAGAGTTCAAGCCCCACAACCAAACAAAAAAAAAACAACTTTTAAATGTCTCTAGTAATACTAACAACACATTAGAAGAGGCAGCTTATATTCTTTTTCTATTTTTATATATGTTGAAATTATTTTGGGAGGTGGAGAAGAAAAAAGAGTGATATAGGGGTTGGAATAGATTGGAATATATTGTAAACATGTGGACATAGTGACAATGAAATCTCCCCCATCATATAATAGTGTCAGCTCATAAAAGCTAATAATTACAAAATACATGAATTAGAGGTTTAATTGGGCCTATAAAGTTCACTAAAAGTATAAAAAATAATAATACCAGAAGAGAGGATGGGTAAGCAAATATAGCCATTATATTCAATGTACATTATATAAAAACTGAACTATGTAACGTGAGAGTAGGGACAGGAGTAGAGCAATGGGGGAGAACAAAGGAAGGGATGACACTGATCAAAAAGTACTGTACTCATAGAATTATGGAATTGTTATCACGTTGTGCAACTACTTAATAATAATAAAATAGAAAGTAAAAGAGAGAAGAAAATTAGGATACAAACATGTTATAGAGGTATAGCTAGATGAGAACAAAGCCATCTCCAAGGCCAAGAGGGACCCAAGGTGAAAATAACTGTGAGAACTCCTCCATTCAGATTTCTAGCCCTCCAGGATTGAAATCAAATTTTATCATGAAAATGTCAGCTATGTAAGCCAAGTAGTAATAGTAATAATGATAACCATATATAATACCATAACCTATCACAGCAATCTACATGCAGAACTAGCTATAAAATCAAGATTAATGGCCCAAATTTATCCTTACTAACAATAACAATATATGGATGAACATACCTCTGAAGCCATTTGCAGATTTTTTTTTAACTAGAATTGATCCTACCATATTACTTTTTTATTTTTATCTTATCAGTTGTGAGGCTTGAACTCAGGGTCTGGGTGCTGTCCCTAAGCTTTTTCACTCAAGGCTGGAACTCTACCACTTTGAACCACAGTGCCACTTCTGGTTTTCTGGTGGTTAATTGGAGATAAGAGTCTTACAGACTTTCCTGCCCAGGCTGGCTTTGAATCGTGATCCTCAGATCTCAGCCTTCTGAGTAGCTAGGATTACAGGCATGAGCTGTGCCTGGCAATATTACTTACTTTTTGAAAATGAATTCCCTGTTTATGCTACAGGATATTAGCTTTCATCAATTACAGATAGTTGAAGAAGACACAAGAACATCTATTTAAATCTACAGTTCATTAAAAGGCTAAAAACAGTATTATCATCAATATTCATATTAAGCACAATAAAGACCAAATTAGTGCTGTACATAAGTAAGAGTAATAGCAGTTCAAAGAGCTAATGTTCCATAGTCTCCCTCATCTCCAAAATATATATTACAATTTCATGCATTGATATGAGGATTAAATTAAAATGGCACTGACTACCAGTGGCTCACTCCTGAGGATCATGGTTCGAAGCCAGCCCAGGCAGAAAAGTTCATGAGACTCTTATCTCCAATAAACTACTCAGAAAAAGCTGGAGTGACACTGTGGCTCACGAGGCTCAGGACAGTCCCCAGGTCCAGAGTTCAAGCCCAGGATCAGCAAATAATAATAATAATAATAATGGTTCGAATATCAACTGATACTAGCAAGTGTCATTTATTAGAAAAGGACAGAACATATAATTTTTATTCTTTTCCTTATGGGTACTATTAAATAAGAAAAAAATCACTTACCCTTAATTTCTCCCACCAAAAGTTTATCACAAATTTGTTTCTCATATGTTTGTATGTGTTCTAAAGATTCTTGAAAGAGATCTGCCTCTCTCATCACTTGATTCTGATATAGTATCAGTTCACTATATTCATAGTCTAGTTTGTTGACAGGAACCTAAAAGAAAACCAAATTAGGTTATCTGTGTAATTATATAAAGTAGTTACAGATCTTAATTTTTTTGTCTCAGAAGACATTTGCAGACTTAAAAAAGCAACTCACAAGCAGTTTCAAATATGAGTGATTACCACCAGCACAGCATATTAATACATTCATTACAATAAATAAAGGTATAGGGTTTCTACCCATGGCTAAGTGAAAAGGTCAGGAAATCCTGTACCCAAATATAAAAATGGTTGAACTTCTCAGAGTGATCAGGAGATTTTGAAATGATAAAGGGAAGAATGAGACACCGGTTTTCTGTGGATTTCTGACACTATGTGATCTAACTTCCACAGCATCTCCAACTCAGCAGCCAAACCCATACAGAATATGTTCTGTAAAGCTGCATGCCAGTGGCTCATGCTTGCAATTCTAGCTTACAAGCTGATCCACAGATTTTAAAGACTAATTCAGATTTGGAAAAGGGAAATTTAGAAGTTAACTATTTTATTCTATGAAGATAAAAGAAAATATCAGAATGACGTTCTTACTTGCTGTGTTTGCCTAAATTCTTCCAATAGCTTTAGTGCCATGTCATAATCTTTCAGCAAATGATATGCAATGGCATATCCAATCCAGGAAGCACGTTGTGTTGGACGTAACTGAAGAAGCTGGTATCTTGTCTCCTTTAAAAAAAATTACTTTATATTTTTAATTTTTTAACCTTCTTAAAAATGTCTTTAGTTCATCAGCATTTTAGCATAGTAATTTATATTTAACACATTTCTAGTGAATTCAGCCAATAAACATCAATCTCAAAAAATTGATAAATACTTGTTTTTCATCTAAATTATTCAATATATTATTAATTATATATTAATGCAATTAATTGTAAGGCATTATAGGTACTATAAGACTATCATTGAATACTTGTCTTTGAGGCCCATGAATTTGGGCTGTTTCATAAATTAACCTCATAATGAAATGTCTTCAGATAAAATTTAAACATTTTCCAAGAAAGACTGTGAGAGCTTTTTATATAACAGATTTTTTTAACTGCTGCATGAAATTTCAATGTTTTTACACTGTCATAATTGGCCCCAAACAGAGTCAGGGGAAACATTCAAACATGGATTGGACTTTTGTAGGAGAAACATCTCCCATATCACTGTGAAGTGACTGTCTTATATACTAAGGACAAAATGCTAGAAATTTCATCATGGCTGCTTCAGGAGAATTAAGATATTTCTAGCAGAAAATCGGACCCCCATATAGATATATAGATATGAATCCACCTCTGCTAACTCATTTCTTTCTCCATGTTTTAAGCAAGTGCAACTCATTAGAAAAATAGGGTCTCATGAAGAACATTAACTGCAAGAGAGTCTAGAAGATGTAGTCTTTAATTTCCATTATTCTGTTGTTAGATGATTGGAATAAGTGCCAAGTAAGTCCGTCCACCACAGAATTCTTCTTGGATCCATTGTGGAAACCATAACTGACAAAATTACTTTTTCTCTACCCTTATGTGCTTGGTTCCTTTTAGCATATGACATTAAGCTATATCACCCTCTATGTTCATTGCTATTATCTGTTACCACAACTGCCTCATTAAATCATTAAAGTCTGGGTCAATTAAATCCTTCCATCATCCTAGCAAAATACAACAATGATGTGGACCACCCATCTAAAAATCTGCCTTGCTCCAAAACTTCCTCATCTTCTCCCTATCTCCTAGGTATCCAATCATACAACCATACCCAAGACCTTTATACCACCCCAAAATCACAAATTCAGATAAAAAATACACACCTTTGAAGAATGATGCCATTATGAAGTTCAGCAGAGCCTTTGAACTCACTAAATGTAGGAAGAAGGCAGAAAGAAACAAAGAAAAAAAGGAAAGAAGGAAAAGAGAAAGAAAGGAAGGGGGAGAGGGAAGGAAGAACTCAAGGAGAATTGGTGGCTCATTTACATAAGAAATTGAGAGACTTCCATTCTGGACATGGTGATTCTCTAATATGACAGAGAATAAACAGGCACATGGAGATGTCTAGCAGAGAACTGAAAATGCAAGTATGAACTGCAGGAAGCCTGATTTATGGCAATTCTTGTAACATTTTATATTTCCTAGTCTATAGTAAAAATTATTTAATCTTTAGCTTTCAGTTATAAGAGATGAATGTCAAACCTAAATTTTATTTACCAAGATTGTAAATTATAAACCCACAAAGAATCCAGAATAGCATTTTCATATAAAAGATAATCAAGTTGTTTTAAAAGTATAAACAGCTGGACACCAGTGGTTCATACCTGTAATCCTAGCTATTCAGGAGGCTGAGATATGAGGATGACAGTTAAAAGCAGCCCAGGCAGGAAAGTCCATGAGACCTCTAAATAACTACTCAAAAGAAACCAAAAGGGGAACTGTGGCTCAAGTGGTAGAGTGATAGCCTCAAGCAGTGCCATTATGAAGTATGTAAATAAACCACCAGCTCTCCTTGAGCACCCCTCCCCTTCCTTCCTTTTTTCCTTCTTTCCTTTTTCTCTTTATTTCTTTCTGCCTTCTTCCTACATTTAGTGAGTTCAAAGGCTCTGCTGAACTTCAAAATGGCACTATTCTTCAAGTTTAAGCCCCAGGACCAGCACAACATACACAAAAAAGTACTAAATGACTGGTTCTTATTTGATGCTCAAGTATAAAGTCCTATAATTATTATCATGGAAAGATATCAAGTGAATTTTTCTACAAATTCTGAGTCAAATCTACATGAACCTGGTATTTGACCACTTTGCTTTTTAAAAAATTCACATATTTTTAAAAAATGTAATCTCTTGTTTAAAAAAATAGTATGTACATTTAAGACTAAAGTACGTACTCGGTAACCTTCAAGGTCTCTCATTTGAATCTGCAACAAAGACAGGTCTCTCAAGATTTGCAGATTATCTCTGTCTAACTTGAGAGCATTTCGGTAACACTTAATAGCTTCATCATATTTCTTCTCAGACCGCTGCAGGAGTCCATATACATGCCAACCTATTAAGTTAAGGAAAAAGAGACATTCACAGACACTAGACTATACTTTAATTTATCCAAAAGCACCTTAACAAAAATAGCATTTTATCTGAGATTTGTTTCAGAATAGTCTGTGGTAAACAGGAAGGGACTGTGAAGGGTAAAGACAAAAATAAACAACCTAGGGCTCGGAAGGTGGCTCAGTGGTAAAGTGCTTGCCTTGCATGCATGAGGCCCTGGATTCGATTCCTCAGCACCACATAAGCAGAAAAACCCAGAAGTAGCACTGTGGCTCAAGTGGTAGAGTGCTGCAGGGACAGTGCCGAGGCCCAAAGTTCAGGCCCCATGACTGACTAAAAAAAAAAAAAAAAAAAAACTAAACAAGCTGTGATAACAGCTGTTAAATTGTTGAAACTGGAGTAAGCACATGGAGGTTCACTATTCAGTTCTCTCCATTTTTGTACCATGTTTGAAATAGTTCATAGCATTTTTATGCAACCTCAGAAGTCTATGCAAAAATTCTTCATATTACTCTATACTTTATTTTTCCTCTCATTTTTTTACCTCATCAACCTCAACATTCACTTATATAAAATCTTCTTGTAAAATTAAATCCACATTCAAACAATTCTTAAAAAAAAAATGTAATCACTAGCGATAAGAAAGACCAAAAAAATTCAGTTTTATCATAAAGACTGAGCACATCTTGGAACTAGAACCAAAAAAAACTTAAAAAAAAAAACCCCAAAACTATCATACTTACATGCCCTCTCTCTTCACTCTGGGGTAAGTAAGCACTGGGATAAGAAAATAGTATTTAGTACTAAAAGAACCATGCACTAAATATGTGGTATCACTACTAACGCTGTTCATGTTTAATATTAGTCATTTAAGACTAGTCATTTGCTAATTAAATATTTAAAAAAGAAAACTCTACCAGAGCTCTATGTAAAAAGATCAGGCTTAAACATATACATGGATAAAATGAATTAAAGGCAATTTCAATGATACATTAAAAATGTTTTATTTACATATCGGAACATCAGTCAGAAAAATAAAGACTGAGTAAAATAACAGCTATGTCCTTGTGTTAACAGAATCCAAACTTGGGAGCCAGTATCTTTTTTTTTTTTTTTTTTTTTGGGGGGGGGGGGGGAGTCAGTATCTTAATACTAAACAAAACTTGTTTTTTGTTTGGCAAAAGTAAACAATCAGACTTAGGGCCTTGGGCACTCAGGCAGGAGCTTAGTATTATGCTACCAAATCAGTTTTGAAACAAGCCAAAAATCCTACTACGCCTATAACCGTATCTACTCAGGAGGCCGAGATCTGAGACCAAGAGTTCAGAGCCAGCCCAGTCAGATATACTCTTCTCTACAACTAACAGAAGTGGAAGTGTGGCTCAAGTGGCAGACAATCAGCCATCAGCTGAAAAAGAACTGGAGCTTGAGGCCCATAGTTCAATCCCAATACTGTCACAAACACATACACGTGCGCGCACACACACACACACACACACACACACACACACACACACACACACACACAAAAACTAGCTGGGCACCAGTGGCTCATGCCTACAATCCTAGCTACTCAGGAGGCAGAGATCTGAGCATCCTGGTTCAAAGCCAGTCTGGGCAGAAAAGTCCGTGAGACTCTGATCTCCAATAAACCACTAGAAAACCGGAAATGTCGCTGTGGCTCAAAAGGTGGAGTGCTCACTTTGAGCTGAAGAGTGCAGGGACAGTGCCCAGGCCCAGAGTTCAAGCCTCATGACCAACAACAACAAAAAAAACTTTAAAAAAAAAAAAATCAAACCTGTTGTAAAATAAATTCTGTTTAAAATCTTTTTTCTAGAATTTTTTCTTCAAAAATTTCTAAAACAAATTTTAAGGAATAATAAAGTTACTAAAAATTCTTTTTAAAAGTTACTAAAAAATAAGTAACTAAAAATTATTATCTGCAATAAGACTAATATCATTTCACTTTTTTTTTGGAAAAAAATCTAGTCACTTGTAATTACCAGTTTTCTTTTTTCCAACCCTAAGGACAACTGAAGTAGACATATATACACATACTTCATAGGGATTCTTCTTAAAAATACTCCAAGAAACAAAGGGAGGGAGCAAATGAAACTCTACACAATACTGATAATTATAAAATTATAAACAAATTTTCTAAGCTGTTTTTTAACTTACTTAAAACTGGCAAATGAAATTAAACCATAATTACTATAAAAGGATACAAACATGACTCTTGACATCACTCCGAAGACCTTTACGAACAAATTCATATGCTTCTTCTTTTTTTCCTAAACAGTTCAATATTAATCCTTTCATAGCCAAAGTCTCTGGAAAATAATGTTAACCTCTATTTACACAAGAAAGATTTACTCTCTAGTACTTCACTAATATTTGAGACCTGAAGTATCACCAGTGTTCTAATGTTTATATTATTTATCTTTTTAATTTCAGAGCCTCTCTCCACCCAAGCTCAGTGCTACACACCTGTAACCTCCGCATTCAGGATGCTGAAGCAAGAGGATAGATGTGATGCACAGCAAGTATGAGAGTAACCTAGGTTTGGAGATTGTTTGGGTTGTGGAGCTTGAACTCAGGGCTTGGACACTGTCCCTGAGCTCTTTTGCTCAAGGTGAGTGCTCTACCACTTCAAGTGAAGCCCACTTCTGGTTTTCTGGTGGTCAACTGGAGATACGAGTCTCACAGACTTTCCTAGCTTTGAACCACAATCCTCAGATCATAGTCTCCTGAGTAACTAGGATTACAGGCGTGAGCCACCAGTGCCTAGGTTTTATAGTTAGATCCTGTCTCAAAAAATAACCACAAATCCTCTCCCCATACAAAAGGAAAACTACATCTGTCTCTAAAAATTCCTAGGCTATCCAGGTACCAATAGCTCAAGAGTATACTTGTAGCCACTCAGAAAGTTGAGATGCAGAAGATTATGGTTGGACGCTAACCCAAGCATTAGTCTGAGTGACTCTAGCTCCAAAATAACGAACAAAAAATGGATTGGGAATGTGGTTTAAGTAGTACAGAACTAGCAGAACAAGTACTAAACAAACATAGTACTGAATTCAAACTCAAGTACTAACCAAAAAAATAAATAAATAACCTCCTTGGGCTACAATAGAGTTGCTAAAATGCTTTTGCTGAAAGGCATAAAGTATTCTAAAAGAATACCATAAAGTAGGTAAATATCTTACTAGAGAAAAATTAACAGTAAGGGTATCTGAGAATTGTTGAATGAAATCCAGTAGAACAGTTCTAGTTTTCCAGAGATCAGTTCTAATCAATCATCAATTAATTTATACCTCACAAAACCAATGAATCTACCTTAATGAAGACATAGCTTTAAAACAACTTTATTCAAAAGGCTGAAATACTTAAAAAATAATAATTATTCACATTGGAACATATTTCATTTTGGCAGCAAATTTATTTCAACCAATTCTACTTAAGCTAATTAACATCTGTTTGCATTTCAAGAGTACTACACTGAACTATGGGAATGACAAGAAAATGTTAAAAAGCTAATGAACAATGAAGATGTTTTAGAATGAATTAGCTAAATAATCTACAAAAGGGGAATCAAGTAGGAACAACAGTCAAACACTGATCTCTATAGCCTAGTAAAAATGGTGATCCAGGCAGCCCAGGCCCTGATTATCAATATCTTTCATCTCTTTTAAATTTTGAGCTTTTTAATAGCCTCCAATCAGATAAAATCTCCATAGCTATAAAAAACAAACCTTAAATGTCTAAAATTCCATTAAATGAAGGCTCCTTTTTATTTTCTTAAATCAATCTTTCCAATGTGTTTAGAAAAGGGAGCAGGGTCAGACTACTCCCAAAAAATGGTCTCAAGTTACCCAGTCTGATTCTCAGAGACCCCAAAGAACTGTTTCTAAACTGTAAGAGGATAATTTGTATTCTAGTCTGATACTTTTTAACAAACTTAGCTATCAATAAAGGGGGTGAAAAAAAACTATAAACATAATTAACAAGTGTTAGATAATAATATACATAATCTACTGATAGATCAATGGTACTCTATTCATACAAAAAGGTAAGCAGATATATAGAAAGGGTAGTTATATTCTTTACCAAATGATAAAACGAATGTTGCTGTATCTTCACACAATTTCTTTTTTTTTAATTAATGACTGTGTTCTTTCACCCCTTCAGTATTCCCTCACGCTATTTCGGTATTGCAACTATTGTTCTAATTTTATACATAGGAAACTAAGGTTATAAACTTAAAAGTCTACTCAAAGTAATAGAGAAAATCAAGTCTATAAAAACAGGTTGATACATAAGCAAAAAGAAAAAAGCCGGAAGTGGTACTGTGGCTCAAGTGGTAGAGCACTAACCTTGAGCTGAAGAGCTGAGGGACAGCTCCCAGGCCCAGAGTTCAGGCCCCAAGACCGGACTCAAAAAAAAAAAAAAAAGGTTGATAGGCTGGGAATGTGGCTTAGTGGTAGAGTGCTTGCCTAGAATCCATGAGGCCCTGGGTTCAATTCCTCAGTACCACATAAACAAAAACAAAAAACAAAAGAAAAAAAAAACACAGGTTGAATGTATCTATCCAAATATCAAAAATCTAAAATTCTCCAAGATCCAAAACTTTCTGAGCACAAAAAGGCTCAATGGCTTAGCTCCGAAGATGGCGACGGGACAGTAGGGAAACGCCACAGCTCTCTCCAACCAAAAAGAGAGTTCGAGTTCCAACCTTTAATCTCCCCAAGAGACCGACAACAACAAAAAGACGAACACTCAGAGAAAAACCAGAGGTGGAAAATAACAAAAAAAGAAAGAGAGGAAAAGAAGAATTTCAGAACAGAGAAGAGCGAAGACCCCTCCCCCAACCTTTACTGGCCGCGCGGCAGTGCGCCAAGCCGCCGGCCAGCCGGCCCGGCGGGGGCTGCCGGAGCCACAGAGACACAGGGGGCTGCTTGCAGATCACCAGGTACCGGATTGCAGAACAGCGGATCGCCAGGAACAGAGAAACCTACCAGCCGGGAGTCTCCAGGAGGATCCCACCCCACCCATCACTCTCCACCGGAGCGGAGAGGCTCCATCCCGCCAAAGCCGCCCGGCACCAGCAGCGCCACAAAGGGACCTGTCCGCAGACCACCCGCCCAATCGCGATCGCAACGACCCGCGGCGGGGGGCCGCCCAACCCAGCCCGCAACCACCCCAACTGAACTCGGACTGCAACAACTGACGGACTGCAACAACAACTGACGACCTACAGGGTGAGTACCCATCAGGGGACAGGGAATCCATCAAGGGAGACCAGAGCTGGAGGGAATCCCCAGACCCTGACCTAGACTCCCTACCCCAACACCCGGACCACAGGACCCACTAAAACTGGGAACTGTTCGAGAGCTCCACCAGCCGGTGGAGCACACTCTGCTGGCCAGGCCAGAGCAAGAGCGCCCCTGGAAGGGAGCTTAAATGCTCAAGCCAGGAACAGTGCCCCTGGGTCAAGACTACCAACAGTAGAAGAAATTTGAACTGTGTCCTCCAGGCTGCATAACCAAGGTGGTATACACATTAGCACAGGCCTAACGAGCGCGCTCCAGGCTGGGGCCGGAACCAGGCCAGGGGACCGGCGCCTGAACAAAGCAAAAAGGGTCAGAAGTGGGGCTGTGGCTCAAATGGTAGGGTGCCAGCCCTGAGCTGAAGAGCTGAGGGACAGCACCCAAACCTAGAGTTCAAGCCCACAACCAGCCCAAAACAAACAAACAAAAACACATCAGGAGCCCATAGCAGACTCCAGTATTTGGGAGAGTGCATCCAGAGCATCTGATCTTCCCAAGAGCACCCGCAGGAGCAAACACAAGCAGTCTAGGCTGCTCAACCCTTCCAAAGGCGGGAATTGCTACAGCAGAGAGCTGAGAATCCTAAGTGAATAGCAGCTGGAAATAGGCTCCCAACAGAATCCAGATCAGGCACAGACTCTCTCTACCAATAGAGAATCAGCAACCAAGCAAAGACAGACACACCAAAACAAGATTGAAGAGCAGTCTCCTGAACCCCCATGCGAAAATCACAGAGAAAAATCACAAGGTTTACCACTACCCAGGACAGCAAGCTCACCTCAAAAGCCAGCAGCCACGCAGGGGAGAGCCCCAGTGGGAGCAAAGCAGGAATGGAAGACAAAAACTACATCCAAGGGTTGCTGGAGGCAATGACTCAAGAAATAAAGCAAGAAATGGATCAGAAATTGAAAGAGCACAAGGATGAACTATCAAAAGATATACAGGATATCAAACAAAAATTGGATGCAAAAATAGAAGCTGCACAAACCTCAGTAAGAAGTGAGATAAACGCCAAATTAGAGGTAATGCATACTGATATCACCTCATTGAGAGGTGAGATCAGTACTCTGAGAACCAACATTGAATCCATAAAGGGATCCATTTCCACCATGCAAACCACAATAGAAGCCACGGTCAACAGAGTGAATGAAATGGAAGGTAGAGTGTCAGATACAGAAGACAGAATACACCAACTGGACCAAAAAGTGACAGATATGGAAAAATCACTCAAATTAAACCAAAGGGAAATTCAAGAGCAAGCAGATAATGCTAAAAAATTTAACCTTCGCATAAGGTGGACGAAGGTGAGGAATTCCAGAGCAAGGGAATGCAACACCTATTTAACAAGATAGTCAATGAAAATTTTCCCCACCTCAAAAACGACCATCTTAACTACATCACAAAAGCTTATCGAACACCCAACAAGCAAGATCCCAGGAGAAACACTTCTAGGCACATAATAGTAACAATGATGGATCTGAATAATAAGGAAACAATCCTGCATGCAGCAAAAATGAAGAAGGAGCTATACTACAACGGGAAAAAAATTAGAATCACTGCAGATCTCTCCACACAAACAATGAATGCAAGAAAAGCCTGGGAAAGCACCATACGAGCCCTGAGAGCCAATAACTGCCAACCCAGACTGATATACCCGGCAAAGCTAGCATTCACATTCGATGGAGAACTGAAAACTTTTAATAGCAAAGAAAAACTAAATGAATACATAAACATTAAGCCAGCATTACAAAGAATTCTAAGAGGGGGGACACAACCTGAAGAAAGCAACCAGGAACTGGGACCTGCCCCAAACAGGCATTACTCAAAGTCTAACTGAGCAAGCACAGGAGGAAAGGAAAGAAGAAAAACTTAGGAAAACGGAATGGCAGGGACAACAATGCATCTCTCTATACTTTCTCTTAATATAAATGGGCTGAATTCGCCAATTAAAAGAAAACGAACTGAGGACTGGATCAGAAAACAAGACCCATCCATCTGTTGCC